TTACCCTCCTGGGAAAGCATTTGGAGCCTACACCATTTGTGCTTTTCTCACTGGAGTAAGAAATCCAGGTATCTGTGGAGGAGGGGAGTCTGAAAGGTGGTGGAGCCAACAGCCAGGGCAAGACCTCAGGGAATGAGGAGGGAGGAGCTGTGCAAGGTACCTCTGTCCCCTGGAGCCTTTACCCCCCAACCCCCTATACTGAGGACTGTCTACCCTGGGGCTTAGAAGAACCTGCATACGGGATGATGGCTGACTATTAAGGCAAAGGGGAGAGCTGCCTCCTGGGCTCTCCACCTCCAGCTGCAGAGCTGGTCTGATACTGAGAAAACACCTGCATTTTTGCCCTAGAACCAGGGCCTCTGATGAGTTACAGTAGGAGAGGAATTACCAACATGGTGAGAGGGTCCTATTTTACTTCACCCCTCTGGAACCCTCCACCCTACTCAAACTTTCTGCACAGGGGACTCAACAGGCACAGCTTTCTTTCCCCGTTGCTTCAGACGGCCCCGGGCGTAGACACGGAGCAGGAGGGCAGCAAAGACCACAGCTACCCCCATCCCTCCCACCACAGTGACAGTGTGGCCATAGAGGAGACAGGAAAGAAGGATGGCAAAGGCCTGGCGGAGGGTCATGATGATGGTGAAGACAGCGGCCCCGAACTGCCCGATGGTGTAGAAGATGAAGAGCTGGCCACATGCGGAACAGACTGAGAGAAGCAGGGCGTGGGCAGCAAACTCGCTGTGTCGTCCCATGAAGCGGGTCCCCTCCAGGAGGGCCCCCTGCTCTAGCAGTGAGCCTACTGTGAAAAGGCAGGAGAAGAAATTGACCCCAAACATCATTTGCACTGATGACATCTTATAGGCAAATAGGGCATCCTGCCAGTTTGAGGTGAAGCTGTCAAAAGCAATGTAGCCCGCCAGTAATATGAGGCCTGAGAGTGTGGTGGCCGGGGAGCTGCGTGGCTCTGGTCCGCTGGACAGCAGAAACATGCTGACCCCAATGGAGATGAGGCCAGCTGTCAGGTATTCCCAGTGTTCATAGCTGCGTCGAGACACCAGCTTTCCCATCAGCATGACAGGGATCACCTTAGAGGCCTTGGCCAGCACCTGAGTGGGGAAGCTGACAAACTTGAGAGCTTCATATTGGCACCAGCTGCTAAGCACATTGGACAGGCTGGCAAAGGAGTACCGGTACATTGGTGCCCCATGCCGGGGCTGCTTGCAGAGGATGCAGGAGAAGCCAGCCACAATCAGTGCCAGCACTCGGTTCATTAACACCAGGAACTGTGAGTCTGTGAAGCGCTCACCCGGTGATACGGCTGTGGCCCCATAACTGCGGGTCATCACTCTTTCCTGTAGCACACCCCAAGTCAGGTAAGACACCTGGGTGGGGGAGGGTGGAGACAGAAGACAATAAGCAAGAGACAGAAAGAAATGGATCTCACCCTCTTCCTCAGGATGATGTCTAAATGCCTTAAAGGACAGCATACAGTTTTTGGTTCCTCTGTAGTAGTTTCCTCTCCCTCCCCAGTGTGGATCCACCTTGTAGGAAATCAAGCCTGGGTGAAAAAATAACAAATGCTTTGGGACTGCCCAGATCTTGTCTGTCCCCACAGTAGGTGTATGTTACAGCTGACTCCATCCAAAGTATTTGTGGTCAGCATGTTAGCACCCCTCTCACATGCAGTACTGTGAAAAGGCTGAGTGCCCCCCACCCCAAACTTTTATCAGTGGGCTTACAGTACATGGGACACAAAAGTGTCCTCATAATGGCACAGTAGAAATCACAGAAAAGAGGGCAAGAGAAGGCCCCTCTTCTGCACCAGACATCATGAAATAATAGCATACAGTTAACTTTCCGTACCAGTGCTGCAGAGGGGAAGAGGAGGAAAGAAAAGACAGCATTTCCCCCAAACACTTCCAACATGGTGGTGCAGTGTGCCCTAGAGGAGGAGGACACAACACACCAACCCGCAAACCTCTGGGGCTGGTATGATGGAAACTTCAGTTTCACAAAGTCCCTGCCCACCAGGACCCGATCCATGAAGAGAAGCAGAACCTGCCTACCTACCTGGAGCCCCACGGCACAGAAGAGCAGCTTCAGGGCCTGCCACAGGGGGGTGGTCTCTGATGTCTCTGTCCGAGGAGCCAGAGGAACCTCCTCAGAGGCCTTGGGCTCATTGCCAAACACACAGGCTTTCACCAGGGGAAAGCAGAGACCCCTGCCTGAAGAAGGCACACAAAGTCAAGCCCCAAATCTTCTCCACAGCACCTCATCTCCCCCAGAGCAACCAGCCTGCCCTGTTGTCCCGCCTGCTGGCTTCCCTCCCTCCCTTTCCAAGTTATATCCCGTTTGGACTGCACCCGCAATTCCGACCTAGCCCACTCACCCCGCCCTTTCTTCACACACCTGTCTCCAGGTAGTTCTTCCGCCTAAAGTATTGCACCAGGAAGTAGCCAGGTACCATAAAGCTGGCATAGCCGGCAGCATTCACCAAAAACCGGAAAAACCATAGCTGGGTCCATGACTCCGGAGGGGCTACAGGAGTCTCCCCGCCTGCACCCACGGCGGGGAGCGCAGCCATCACCACCACTGCCCACCACCTGCAGGGGCAGCGGACATAAAGATCAAGGTGCAGTTCCTCATCCCCTCGGCCCTCCAGAGGGGACCACACTGGAGAACGGCCCAGGCTCCTCCCCGCCCCCCTCCGCTGCAGCCTAGCCCGGACAAAGAGCCTCTCTCTCTCTTTCGGAGGAGCCGGCGTTGGCCAGGCAGGGCTTCCTCCTTCCCCGGGGGCGGACCCGCCCCTCGGGCCACACAGGTCCCCTCTGTTCCCTCCAGCGCTAGCCCGCAGCTCAGGCCTGACGCGGCGCCCCCTCCCCCCGCACCGCCCTCCACATTCCCGGAGGTCCAGGGTCCCTAGCCCTTCCGCCGGACACTCCCGAAGCCCTCCAAGGAGCACGAGACCACGCCGCGGCCCCCATCCCCGCCGGTTCGAGGCAGGGCTATTCCGGCCGGCAGCCGGGACCCCACCCGGCCCCCCAAGCCGAGGCAAGGCAGTCACGTGGCCCGGGGGCTCGGTCACGTGGGCTCACGCTGCCCTAGTCCCCCACCTGGCGTCCATGGTCCAGGCCGCGTGGGGCGGAGGGGGGGCCGGGGAATGCGAGTCCCCGAGCCGCACGCGCCCTCCGCTCCCGCCGCCGCCTCCGGGAACAGCCAGTGAGCAAGCGGATAGCGGAAGTGCGGCGCTCTTCCCGCCTCCCTCCCCACGGCCGCCCCTCCGCCCCCTGCCGCGACCACGCAGTGCCCCGGACAGTAGCCGGGCCACAGCGCCCCCGCGCGGCCCGGAGGCAGACGCGGCCCGGTTTCGGGCCGCTGGGCTGCTCCTGGAGCAGAGAGCAAAGAACCCCCAACCTTAGAGGGGCGCTAGCCCCGTGCGTCCCCTCTGCTTTGTTATCGCCCTCGACCCTCATGGGCGTCCTAGAGGTGACCACTGCCATCTTACGGACGGGACATGAGGCTCTGTGTCCCAAGCACTTCCCCCTTATATTACAGTTTTCCTTTGTCTGACAGGGTATGTCCCCTTCCTTTCTCAGCTGGGCCAACAATTCTGTCCCCCAACTCCCCGTGACCTTCGAGGCGCTGCATGGCCTGGCTCGTCTTCCTCGCCTACTCACCCACCCCCTGTAGAGGCCCACTGGCCTCTCAGTTCCTCTAATGCACCAAAGGCCTTCCCCCAAACGCTCTGTCCCCATCCCTTACTCATCCTTGTGGCCCAGGTGAGATGACACTCCTCAGACAGGGGTCCCTGGACCACCCAAAGTATGGCCCTCCACCCGCTCCATTGTTCTCCTTCCCACTATTCTTTCCCTTCACAGCACCACAGCAACTTGTAATTACATATTTATTTGGATGTTTATAATTTTAATGGCTGTCTGTCTCGCTCACTAGACTAGAAGCTCAAGTGGCCAGTGACTGTGTTGGTTTATTCCCCCACGTTCTTCATGCCAGGATAGGCCTGACCTATCCGGGCCCTCAAAGGTGTGGAATGGAAGGAAAAATGTAAAAAGTCACAGCTCCCTTGTGCCCAGACTCCCTAGGCTACCCTTCTGCCCACCTCCTCCAGATGGCAGCCTCCAGGGCAATGATGAGGCCTCCAGGGCCTGTGTCTTCTCATTTCTCCTCCTCTCCCGCCATTGCGCAAAAGAGCCAAGGGTCTGCGCTGGACACGGTTTCTGACCTGAGGACTATTTACTCCCCTTCCCCCGCGAAGTCCCTACTGGGCTCAGGGGACAATTTCCTTCCCTGCCTCTACCACAAGGTCACAGGGCAGCCCTGTCTAAAAATCCCCAAGGCACACAGATGTGCATGCACGCAAAAACAATTCTGGAAGGGAAAATCTTTTCAAGTGTCTGTCATTTTAGTGTCATGTTACTGAGTCTTCCCCTCTCCAAAGGCTTAGTTCAGAGGCTTCTGTGTGAAGTCCTTAAACAACAGTGTTTTAGAGTCCTCAGTGGGAGGAAGATGGGACCCATCAGGGCCCTGCTTGCTCCTATTTCAGTCTCTTGTCAGGGAGTCCGCTGGTTTTCCCACTGGTGGGCAGTTTCAGGCTGACCCAACACGGGTAGAAACAAGAACCCCTGCCACATTCAAGAGAGGCAAACAGGCTTCACCCAGGGCATGTGGGGCTTTGGGGGTCTTCCAAGGATCTCCATTCATCTGGGAAGCTCTTCTTTCCAGACTGGTTCTCTCTCACTTGCAATCCCTCCTCTCAGCTCAGGACTGTACTGGCCCCAGGCTGTGGCCTCAGCAGTCCCTAGGACACCAGTAGGGCACATTGCCTGGATCCAAACTGCAGCAGTTATGATCCCAGCTTCCAGATGGTAAGAGGTGGAGCTGCCAGGGCCCCAGACCCCGCCCTGGCTTCAGTTGGCACACATCAGTGGCTTCCCGGAGATCTTCAGGTCATCAAAGGGCAAAAGAACAAGGGACTGAGAAGGAGAATGGAGAAAGGCAAGATCAGGGGCCATGGGAAAAGGCAGCTTGGGAGAGGGGACTGGGGAAACCTGTTGGGCCACACCTTTCCCATCAAATGACAGTTAAAGACCATTAGGGAACAACTCTTCATACTAATCCCCAGAATAGGGGCCCCTCTGCAAGCCCTGAGGCCTTAAGTGAGCTGTTCTTTTCTAAGGCAATGCCAGAACACCTAAACTAGGAGGGATCTTACAGGTGATCCCGCTCACGAATCTGGGATTTTTTGTTGGGAGGGGATGGGAAAGGGCACTCACAAAACATTATGAGTACTTTTTTTACATTGAACATTTAAAAACAGGAAAGACTATACAGAAAATCTGGGTTTCACCTTTCACAACACCGTGCTTACCTTCTTACTCTGCAAGCCTTTGCCGAAGCTGAGTACAGAGACCCTCAGGCATGGCTCATAGGCCTCGCCACCCCACTGTCTCACACCTGGTCAGCTTCTCTGATTCACTTTAGTTGCAGGGCCCCTGTAGGAGTCTAAGTTTGGGCTGGTCCTGACCCACTAAGGAAACAGACTCAGAGAAAGGCGGAGGCTGGCCCAAGGTCTCACAGTTGGTGAGTGGCAGATGGCTGGTTACACCCCAGGACTCCCAACTCCTTGGCTCTTTCAGCTAGTGACAGCACCTGTCTCTGCTATGGGTGTGGGAGGCCCTGGAGAGCAGAGCAGAGCATATGCCTCTTACTTCCTCAGCCAGGTCCTGGGGTGTCTCATCTTCCACGTTCCGCAGCAGGGAGTCAGCACCCGCCTGACATAGAGTGGATGAGATGCCCATGAGGCCCCGGCCAGCCGCCAGGTGCAGGGGTGTGCACCCGTTCAGCATGCGGGCGTCTACCCGGGCACCAGACTGGATCAGGAACTGTACCAGGCCCTGCTCCTGGGTTTCCACGGCCAGGTGCAGTGCTGTCTTCCCACTGGTGCCCTCCTGGAGAGGAAGAAGGATGTCACCAAGGCCCTCAAGAGGCAGTGTGCTAGGTCTGGGCTCTAGATAAGGAAGTGAGTACCACCACTTCTGACTGCTGGGCAAGGAACCTGGGGCTGGACCAGCTGAGGGGCAGGTCCTGGGTGGCAGTGCCCTGATTGGCTGCCTCACCTGCGTGTCAATGTCAGCTCCGTTCTGAAGCAGTAGTTCCATTAGTGGCTGGTTCCTCTGCAGGGTGGCGATGTGGAGACAGGTCAGACCTGGGATGGGGTGAGGGTGGGGGCTGCTGATCTGCATTCACCAACTCCCTCTCTTCCTCTCTTCAGGGACCTCCTTACCCCTCAGCCCCAAGGGACTCAGTGCCCACTCAATGTCTCTAATCACAGGACTGTTAAAATGCACACCCAAAAACCCCCTCAAAAGTCTAAGAGGAAAGGAACTCAAAGTTTCCACCTTTTCAGAGTCACGTTATTGAAACTTTCTTTCATGCTTCAGGGATCAGGTTGCTGAGTGACACCCCCCAAAACACACCCTACTCCAATACACATACCTTCCACACACACACACACACACACACACACACACACACACACACAGAATCTAAAGCTCCTGCCTTCTAGCCCAGTCCAAAAGCTGCCTTTTCTGAAAAGCCATGTGGGATCCTCATGCCCCTAGCCCTTCCCCAGGGCCTACTTCCTCCAGTGTGCTCCCCTGGGCTTTTTGCTATCTTTCTGGTCTGGACCCCACCCCCTGCCTCTCTTGCTTAGTAACAGAGATTTAGATTCAGTTTACATTCTTCACCTCCTTCAAGTCTCTGTTCAAATGTCCCTGGCTCCACAAGGCCTTCCCTCACCACCTGATTTAAAAATCATATCAACTCTCCCCCTCCCCTCACTCTGCTCTGCTTTTTACCATAGCACTTACTTCCTTTTAACATGCTATATAATTCACGTCTTGTATTTATTGTCAATCTCAATCTTTCTCTGTTTTGTTCACAGATGCAAGCCTAGCTCCTAGGATAGTATCTGGCACGTAAAAAATCCTCAGTGCAATTCTGTTGAATGAATGAATGAGTTCATCTAATCTCTATTAAACTGACTATCCCAAGGGCGAGGTTTAGTTTCTGTTCAGCACACAGTAGGTGCTGGGTAAATTCTAGATCAAATCAGTCACCGATTCATTTAACAAAGACGTACTGAATATCTATGTGCCTAGAGCTGGAGGGGCATCAGTGCTGAGACCCTCCCTTTCCCGAGAGTGGGGTCCCTGTCTCCTATGCCCTCCTCATCCCACAGGCTCTGAGGCTGCCCGCACCTTGCCAGTTTTGCAGTTGAAGGTCCAGGGAGTGAGATGGTCCTCTGCCTGGCTCTGGCTGCCCCTCCAGCAGACAGCGGGCACAGGCCAGGTGCTGGCGTTGGCAGGCCACATGTAGGGCTGTGTCACCATGCCGGTCCTGTAGCACCCGGCTGGCCCCCTTCATCACCAGTGCCCGAACTGCACCCGGCTGGTCCAGATGTACAGCCAGATGGAGTGCTGTCTGTAGGCACAAACAGAGGGTCACAGAGCCACTGCAGCATGCTCCCACCTCTGGGAACATACTAGGGTGGGCACAGGAGTCACCAGCGCCAGCACCTTCTTTGAAAGCAGTTTATAAGGGCCATAGTCCTTCCAAGGAGATACTCCCAAGCCCTTCCTTCTGTCATCATCCCACCAAGCTCTTGGGACCCCAGCTCTGGAAGCAGGGTGAAAAAAGTGGCGCCTGTTCTTCTTGTAGGTTTCCTTAGCCCCTGGAGAAAGGACATGTGGGGGCAGAATCTAGCCCCTCCCCCTGAGGGGAGACCTCTGTTATCCATCCCCAGGGTTAAGCTGCAGGGGTTAGGTTGGAGGAGGAAAGACAGAGGTACCTGGCAGACTCCACTTGGAAAACCCCTCCTTTGAGGCTCCATTCAGATGTCACCTCCTGTACTAAGCCTTCCCTGGCTGCTCCACAAAGACACTGGACCCAACAGCAAGTAGCTGGTGTGTGTTTCTATCGCAACTCTTGTCACTGTGATGTGTATTTAGGTATTCGACATGAGTCCCCCAGCCCAGGCTGCAAGCACCTTGTGGGCAGAGGCTGTGTCTTACTCACGTCTGCATCCTCAGCTTCTAGCCAAGTGTCTGGCATATGGTTTCCTGAGTTAGCAGACTGGACTCTGGTGTGGCTGCTGGAGATGGCTGCCAGGGCAGAAAAAGGCACAGCCCACTCTCTCCACCCACCTGGTAAAGGTTGTTCTGAATATCCAGGACCTCCTGGGGCAGCAAAGCCAGACAACAGAGCAGCACTGCTGGGGCCTCGTGAATCACTGCCAGGTGGACCAGCCTAGGGGAACAGAGGCAGGACTTGGAGTCAGGGCCCAGGCCAGAGAGGGTGGGCTGGGGTCTTAGGGTTAAAAGGAACAGATCAACCTCTAACTAGCTACCCATAGGATAGGTGCAGGAAGTGAGAGTGAGGGCCAGGAAGTGAGGGGTTGGTATGGGAAGCCAGGATCCCGAGGGTGGGAGCTCCAAGTTCCCATGGCTGGCCTGCAGGAGGGCCTTGGCCGGGTGGGCATGTGGGCAGGGTGATGACAGGACAAGGGCCTTCCTGTCCAGTTTGCCCACACCCGCTCCCCTCTGCCCCCAGGGCCCTGCCAGGCCAGCTGCATCTCAAAGCCAAACTGAAAGCTGCCGAAGTAGTCTAGAGGGGGTTTCCAGGGCTGGGCTCCCCACCTCCCCTGGCCCCAGCAGGGAGGACAGAAGGAGGGAGAGGTAGGGTCATCCCTCCACCAGCAACTCAATGTTACACATTCTAAGGGAGAGAAACAGAAGTTCCCGTAAGAGGATCAAGGAGACAGCGTGGCATCCCTTCCCACTTCCCTTCCCAGGGGAGTCCAGAGGGGCTGATCTTCAGACAGCACAGACCAGGTGGGGCGTGAGCAGAGGCCCTCCACTCCTGTGTGCACCCCCAAGTGTGTGTGTGTGGGGTCTGTGCAGTGCAGAAAAATGTGTGTTTTTTGGGGTGCCAAGAGCCATAAGCTAGAGGTAAAGGGGGCAGCTGGGAGGGGAAGTTCCAGTCTTAGGGGGGTTTCCCCAGATCAGGTGGGTAAAACGAAAGCCAGGGCTGGAGGGTCTTGGCTGGGACAGCTGCCTTGGGGCATTGGTGGGGGGTGAGTGGCTTGGCTAAAAGGCCTGACTGGGCTGGGGAAGGGGCTGCGCGGGCAGGAGGCGGTAGGCTTTGGCTGCAGCAGCAAGAGAGGCCCAGGAGAGAGTGACGGAGGGAGGGAGGAACCGCTCTGGAAATCCCCTCGGCCAGGGCCTGCTCTCTGGGTCACATTCTTGCAGCCACCTCCCTCTCTCCTCCAGTCTCCCCTCCTCCCACTTCCTCTTCCCACTTCCATACCTCCCACAGCCCAGACACCTCCAAGGGAGGAAAGTGCCCCCCTCCTCTCCAGGGAACTGCTGGGGAGTTCTGACACTTCTCTCCTCTGTGCGTGCGCGCGCGCGCGCGCGCGCACACACACACATACATCCAGTGCAGACACAACACCTGTCTAACTAGAGATGGAAAAGGCTGGGGCCAAGAGGCTAACAAAAGAGGGCAGTGTCAGAAGTCCCCACTCCCTGGATCAAAGGTCACCACAGGTATCTTGCATGAAGCCCCCAAAATCTTGGAGTTCTGGGCTGATCTGAGGGCCAGTAATCCAGGCACAGAGTACAGAAAGAACTGAGCTCATTCCTCTCCCATCCACTGGGTCAAGTCAATGGCTACCCAGGATTAGGACCCCTACGTCTCCAAAAAGTGGGTCAGGACAGGCACCTCCTGCCTCCCTTATCCCTGTTTATTCCAGTATCCCTGATCTGAGACTCCAGCACCCTCTCCCTCCACCCCAAATTCTTGTTTCTTACCCCAAAATCCCAGCCACTCCCTCCTCTGACAGTGTTTTCTTTTCTTGGGGGCTACGTCTTCATTTGGCCAACCCATCCCACACAAATGCTTCTTAGTTCAACTGCCCTCTGGCCCAGGCCCCACTAAATTCCACCTGGGCCTGGGAGAGGAAGGGTAAAATGAGGGGGTCAGACAGGACAGAGATGGGGACTTGGGGGCTTGGAAGGTGTAGGGTGTCAGGCTGACTCCAGCCCTCACTTCCTCTTTCTCAGCAAAGGAGGAAGTAAGCTGCGGCAGCCAGCCGCCTGTCTGCTGGGGCAAAAGTGCCCCAGCCTGGCTCACCCCCTCTTCCTCAGGGCCAGCCCCAACCCTGCACCTTGGTGGCACCCCCACCCCTAGCTTCCTGGCCTTGACTGGCAACCTGTAACTGGCACCTCTTGTTCCTTGAGACAGGAATTTCTGAGGTCAGGGGCTGGGAATCCCAGATATTGAGCAAACAAGGATGCCCCCTCCTCCAGTAAGAAAAAACAAAAACTGGACTGGTCAGGGGAATTTTCTCTTCCTAGGGGTGGGTTATCGGTAGATTTCCAAGATGCTGGCTGGGGTTCCAGGTGCCTGGGTAAAGGCCCTGGCAGCTCTGCTCACCCCCAAAAGGGAGAGCAAAGCGACAATGCCAGGTCTTCTAATCTGGGCCTGGCTTGACCTCAAAAGTGGGCTGGGAGTTAAGTTTGGAGTTTGGAAGAGAGAGTGGGGACTACTGCTTTCCAAGACGGGCGCCTTGAGGGATCCTCATGGGGGAGTTGGGGTGCCCAGCCTGTTGCGGTTCCTGGGAAGGCCCAGAGTTAGCATTTCAGTCTAGCCCCCATACTTACGTGTCTCCGTCCTCGGAGATGTAAGTGAGGGCTTCCAGTTGCTGAGGGCTCAGCGCCCCCGTGGGAGGGAGCGGCGAGCGTGGGGCCGGCTCCTCAGTCTCGAGGCCCCCCAGCAAGGACAGGGGCTCGGTGAGGGAAGACGAGCCATACGTGGAATCAGCCCGCTCCCCATCCGTGTCTTCCTTCTCCTGTGGCTCCTTGGCGGTCCCCGGAGGATGGGTCCAGGTCTGGGGGCCGCCGCCGTCCGAGGGCCCGGAGGCTGGGGCTGGGGTGGGCTCGGGTAGGGAGCGCAGGGAGCGCAGAGACTCTATGCCAGAGTCACACTGGCTCTCGTCCGCCTCGTCGGGCCCCTTCCGCGCCTCCGACATGCCCGCGGCACCGGCCCGCGGGGGCCCTGTCCGAGCAGGATCCAGCTCCGGGCTCCGGCACGATGCCTTTCCGGGTTGCAGGTCCCCCTAGCAGAGCGGACCCGGAGCGGCCTCCTCGCCGGATTGTGGCGCTCCAAGGGGTGGGCGAGAAGCGAGGACGAGGTCCGCAGCGCCGGTCGGGTCCTCAGCAGCGGTTACTCGGGGCAGCTGGGCGGCCAGATCTGGTCCTCCCTCTCGCCCCGCCCCTCGGCCCCGCGAAGTAACCGCGCGCCGACTGGCCCCGCCCCACCCCGCCCCCGACAGACGCTTCCGGACGGAGGCCACGCCCCTCCGGAATCCCCCTCATCCCGGCCTCTGCGTAGGCTTGGAGTCTATGGTTACCAGTCCTGACTCACTCCTTCCTTGATTCATTCAACCAGTCATTCATGCATTCATTCGTCCATTCATTCATGCATTCATTCATTCGCTCTTTTCCCCTTCCCTCTTCATTCCATTCATTAGTTCCATGCATTTCTTCTTTTCTTTTTCCACTTCTTCTATTTCTTCATTCTTTCGTTTTAAAGGCATATTTACTGTCTGCACAAACCGGACGTCTTATGGGGAGGGCACGTGGGTGGTGGGACGAGGAAGCATGGCTTTCCATCCCCTGCCCATTTCTCTCAATTTTTCTTGCTTTCTCATCTTTCCCTATTCGTGCCCAAGAGTATGTGTAGGGAAAGGGGACACCCGTTGTCTTTAAAGGAGCAGTTCTCTTTTGGGTCCTGGATACAGAGTCTCCTGTGTCAAATTTCCATATTACATACAATAGGATGTAAGAATATGTTTTTGGAAAGTGAATTATCTCAAGTGACTGTTGTTTAAGGAGCAGAGTAGTCCTGGGGTTTCCTCTTCCTCAGGGTGAAACACTGGCCTTGGTTGGTTACAGTATCTGGTTACCCCCAGCAGTCAGGGGGAAGGTTAGTTCCTCGTAGTGGGGCGGGGATGGGGAGGCCCCAGACATGCGGGGTTGCACTCTGCTCAGGTCCCTGCCGTAGCCACAGCCCCAAAACATCTTTCCTCCTTCCTGTCTCTGCTTTCCCTGGGCCTACGGCGGCTGTGGGAGAACCCCATCCATGGGGAACCCCAAACCAGGGGCCCATGATTTGCTCCTTCCTTTTCCTTCCCCCTACTCCAAGTGCCATCATCCTAAGGTCAGCAATGGTCATCCCGAATGGAATATCTGTCTTTTCCAGATCTGGCCTGGGGAAAGGAAGATAGGGTGAGTATAGGTGGCTACTAGCCAGCTTTCCCACTGCTGTCCCCCCTGCAACCTTTTATTCATCCATCATTCACCCATTTGACAAACATGTATGGAGCCTCTCCTATATGTCTGACATTGTTCTCTCTACTGGAAGCAAAATCAGCTCCCACAGGAACAATGATAACCACCACCACAACCAACAAAATAATCCCATAGTCCCAGCCTTCAAAAAGCTCCCTGACATTTACAACTCAGAGTGGTTGGACTAAAACAGGAGTGAGAGCAGGGTGTTGTGGGGGCACACAGTGGGGCCAATTACTCAGTGGGGTGAGGGCAGGGAAGGTTCCATTTGAACTGGGAATGGGAAGGGAAGAAGGATGGGGAGAGGAGAAGGGTCTAGTCTCTGGGGGTGATTAGAGAGAGGAGCAGGGGAGGACTGAGGGGAGAAGATGGCCCCCTGTTCTCCATCCCCGTGGAGGGGCAGAGTAGGAAGGATGTGATGAGCATGAGGCAGGAAGAGCCATGAGGGGAAAGCCCAAGGAAATTGAGGCATCTCCTTCCCTTGGGGTCAGTGTGATTTCAGATGTTTTCAGTCTCCTACCCTGACATGTCCTCTCCCATCCTCAAAGGCTAGAACAAAAGTACAGTAATAAACTCCAGACCCAGATCAGTTGGGTTCAAAGTAAGGCGCCATAATCCCTATTTTAATGTTGGGAAGCTGAGGCTGAGAGAGGTGAGTTGACTTGCCCAAGGTCAAGTTACAAAGTGCAGAGCTGGCTTCTCCTGACTTAATCCAAAATTCTTACATTTTTTTCAGTGAAACCTCCTTTCCTTTATCAAGATCTAAACCACATGGAGAAGAGCCCTCTGCAAGGACACAAGAACTCAGAAGTGTGCAGAGACTGTCCTTCTAATTCATTCAGAGGCTGAATTTAAGGAAAAACCCACCCCAACCCAGCCAGGTGTCTGGCCCTGAGCCATAGCAGGTGTGTGGCAGCACCTTTTACGGCCACTTGAGGTCAGCATTGAGTCACCCACTGTCTCTAGCGCCAGAGCCTTCACTCTGACAGGAAGCCCTCCCGTCACTCCAGGAATGGGGAGAGGGACCTGCATTATCTGGAAGGATGACCTGGGGACTTTGACTCAGGCCACAGCGTTGTTAGGGCCCTGACTTTGCCTCCTCCACTCCAGTCTTCTTTGAGGTTCCTCTGGTCTTTCTCTGCTGGTGTTTTCTGGTTCCGTTTGTTATGCCCCCACTTCCCTCTCCACCCACCCCAGCCAGGCTCATCTTCAGGAAACAGGCCTGGTTTCCATGGTGACCAGCTGGTCAGCTGGCTCCTTCCAGCGCCCCCTCCCTTCACCTCTCTTCCAGAAGCTTCCAGGGAAGGGTGATGTATGTGAATGGGGAAGGCAGGGGTGGTCTTTTGTCTGTTGGGAGCTCCAGGGTTGGCCAGAAGAGTTGGGCTGTCCCTCCTCCAGAGTCCCCTGAAGTGGAGACAGGAAGGCAGTGGGAGTGAGTGTCAGGAGGAAGATTATAACAACTAAACGGGGAGTGTGAGGATCCTGTGTGGGTTAGGAAAGGCCAGGGTTAGGGCCTCTGCTCTCTGTCTGCAGTGAGGACTGAGCTTGGTGGACCGGACTGAAACCAGAAAAAGAGGGGATGGAGTTGGCTGTGAGGCAGACTTCCCAAAGATCATGGGAGGGAGACATTGGAATAAGCCACCAAGTGAGATTCCTCCTCTACCATGGGCGTGAACAAGACCTTGCCTCTTCACCACTGTCCCCTTTCTCTGTTCAGTGAGAGAGAATGGACTCACTGACCTGGAGACGGCCATGCAGGCTGGATAGTTCTGAAGTGATAGTTGGAGATAGATGGACAGAGAGTCACCTTCACCTCGCCTGGAAAGGGAAGAGTAGGAAAACGGAAGCAGAAGCAGGAGTGGGAATAGAGGGTGGAGGCAGTGGCTCTCCTGCCCCAGATAAGGGGAAGGAACATCCCGGGTAGATCAGTGTGCTTGTACCCTGTCCCCAAAGATCAGATATCCAGGCTTTGCCTCAAGCTAACTTCCTACTCCCAAGTATTCTCCGTGAACTCTGGAATGGGAAAAACCTGAATCCTAGGACTAGGTCTGTGAGTGCTAGCACATGACCTTGAGTAAGTCACTCACTCTCCCTCTGCCTTGGTTCCTTGTGAATAAATGGGGAGAACAGTTACTATATGTCAAAGACCCTAATGACACGTGGTAGGATTCCACAGTGACTCTGTACACACAGATTGATCATGCATGGCATTTGTCACATTCTGTCATAATGATTGGTTTCCATATCCTTCCCTTCACATTGGACTTTGCGCTCCTTGAGGGTAGGAAACTGTGTTTCGTTTTTGCATGTGAGGGCACATGGTAGGCACCTAATACCTGTTTATTAAATGGACGCAGCCAGGAATGAATGAATGAATCAATCAATCAATGTCAGTTTCCTTCCTGTCTGTCCTAGAGGATGCCTGGTAAAGCAGTGTGGGGCAGATGGCACGAGGGCGTAAGCTGCCTACAGTCACTCAGCCTGGCCTGTGGTCTATGACTTTGCCTCGTACACCCAAAGTGTACAGCCTTAGAGATTGTCCAGTCAACTTCCTCACTGCAAAGATGAGGAAATTAAGGCTCAGAGAGGGGAAGGCACTTGTCCAAGGTCACACAACTCATTAATGGCAGAACCAGAATTAAAGAATTATTATTCAAGTTTCCTGACCTCCAGCCTAGGGCATAGGACACACTTCACTGCTTCTCTGGGGCTATTCTTCCAGGGAAAGAAGATGGTTCAGTGAAGGGCGGTTCCAATGTCCTCCCCTCTGCCCTCTGTTAGTCCTTTCTTATATCTACCTTCAATCTCTTTCCTTTCACCCTATTCCATCTCTCTTGAAGTCTGGCTCCTGCTTTAACCCTTTGCCACGCAACTAGGAGTAAGGCTCTTCCCTAGGGTTCCAAGACTCAATTTCCTTCCCCCACCCCTCAGCCCAGGAACTTGCGGGAACCAGGGATTTAGAGGGGGTGTTGGTTGAACCTTGGGCGCCCTCTCCACGGAAAAATAGATGGAGAGGAGTTGCGGCATAGATCTTCCCAGGGTGGGTGGGTCGGTGGGAGGGAGGGAGGTGCTGCAAGCAGGGCTGCGAGCAGGGCAGGGGTGTGGGAAGCCCCTGTTGCTTTCCCCTTTGGGGTGGTTATTAGGTAGGCTTGGGGAAGGCGGAGTTTGGGGGGCCGGGGGCGGGGCTCGGCTGCGCTGGGAGGAAGGGGGGGCGCGCTGGCTCCAGCTCGGCTCAGACAAAAGGCGGCGGCGGGAGCGGGCGGGAGGCGGAGCGGCGCCGCGAGGGCCTCAAGGTGACACCGCCCCCGGCCCCGGCCCCCCTGCCCGGCCCCTCCAGCCTGCCTTCCACCCACCCCCATCCCCTTACCCCCGGTGCCCTTTCCAGGCCCCCTCCCCCCGGCGGGGGGTGGGGAGCAGCGAGGGCCCCGCCCCCTCCCGTCCCCTCCCCAGGGCCGCGCAGGATGCCCCCGGCCCCCGGCAGCCCCCCGGGAGGTCCTGAGCTCGACGCACCCCCTCTACGCCATGTCCCCCCCTGGCTCGGCCGCGGGAGAGAGCGCCGGCGGTGGCGGCGGCGGCGGCGGCCCCGGGGTCCCGGAGGAGCCCACGGCGGCGGCGGCGGACGAGGGCCCCGCCCGAGAGGAGGTGAGAGCCGGCAGCGCCCCTTCCCTCGGCGTGGCCGCAGCCTGGCCCCCCATCCCCCCACAGCGCGCGGCCCCCGCCGGTTCCGCCGCAGCGCGGCCGGCGCCCCGCACCCCGAGCCGGCCGCCGCAGCCGCAGTCCGCGCCGCCGCCCCCACCGGCGGCCGGAGCTGTCCGCGGTGGCGGGGAAGGGGCCGCGTCAGGGGCGGGGCTCAGGGGGGTCCCGGGCAGGGGGAGGGGCCTAGGGGCGGAGCTTCGCGGACCCCGGGCGGATGAGAGAAGGTGGGGTGAGGATGGTGGCAGGGATCGTATCGCATAGAGGGGGATGCCACCTTGAAGGCCAAGAAGGGCGACTTGTAGGGGCTACAGAGCCAGGAGGGTACCGTGGGGACGTGGTGGTGTCACCTGAGCTGGGGCCCTAAGGAGGTCCGATGTATACAGGGGGATTCCCCCAGAGTCACTGGGAGTGTGTGTTAGGGTGTGCACCCCTCCCTCCCAGCTCCTGCTGCTTCCCTATATCCCTAGTTGGGGGCCCTACTCTTCGGTCCTCCAAGCACACTGGGCACACACATGCACACTGCACTAGGGCAGAAACAAGCAGGGACGGACCTGCAGGTAGAAGAGCCCCTTTCAGATGTGCTCACATTAGGACAAGCACACACCAGCTTGACACGTAAAGGTGCACATATGTACACACCTCCCAAGGACAAGGCTCCTGGAAAGGCACATGTACCCTAATCTCCTTGTCCACATATACTGTGCTATTTCCTAGCTCACCTACCTACCCATACTTCCACATCCAGGCCCCCCTGCCTGTTACTGTGCCCTGTCTTTCCACTTTTCTCCCCTTCCCTGGCTGGCCTCCAGGTAAAGCCTGAAGAATTGAGGGGAAAAGTCAGATCCCAGCAGAAGGTCGTGTATGGGAATGGGGGAGGAGGAGGTTCCTAAAGCTAGACAGGAGGGAGGAGGGGTGGGAAAACAGACACCACCATGAGAAATTGAACTCAATATTCATTTATTACATTGCTGCTAGGTGCCAGCACCATGGTAGGCACCCAGGATGCAAAGAGAATGAGGCTTGGGCCCTGCCCTCCGGAGCACCCAGTCTAATGGGGAGCCGGACATGTAAACAACTCACTGTGCCAACTCTGGGACAGAATGTGCCAAGTACTTTAACAGGCAGGCCCCAGGAGAGTACCAAAAATCATTTTCTTTTGACAAATGGCTGGACTTGAAACGTCTTCCTCCCTATGACCGTCCCACATCTGCTATCCCCATCGTCTCCCCAGCCAAATGCCTCTGGCCTTTTGGATACCTTCTCCCGGACTGTCTTCTGTTCAGGGACCCCAGCCCCCTCCCCTCCATCCTAGAACAGGGGGAAGGATGTCAGGGTGCAGGAGGGAGACTCACAAGGGAACCGAGGTCCAGAACATGGGGAAGGAGATAGGGCTTGGGGTTCCCTGGGGGCCCTCCTCCAAAGGATGTGTATTAGGTTAATCGCGAGGGTTAGGGAGGTGGATGGGTCAAAAGAAATGGCTTCTATAAAACCCAGGACTGAAAAAATCTGGAGTGAGGGCCCCACTTGTTAAGTGGGAAGGTGATGTCAGTCGGTCCCTCCTTCTTCCCTGGATTATCTGGAAGAGTTCTAGGCTGGGGACCTGCCTTCACTGATGCCTGTCTGTCCTCCCATCTTCCCCATCCACACTTTCTCCTGTGTCATTGCCATCTTTGTGTCTGTCTTTGGACTCTGTCTCTCTGGGTGCCATGCCATCCATCTGTGTCTTCTTTGCTGCCTGGGCCTGTATCTCTGGCTCTGATCCTTCTCTGCCTCTTGGGGTGTCTTTCTCTGTACTTTCCTGTATTGGCACTCCGGTCCTCTTTCCTGTCCTTATGGGTCACTCTGTGTCACTTCTGTTTTTATCTCTGGTCTCCGGCGCCCATCTTGGTCTTTCCTTTTCTCTCCATATCCCTGTGTCTCTGCCTGTCATCTCTGGTGCTGGCCTCTGCCCCTCCATCCTTGCATCCATCTCTGTGCCTGGTCCTGCCCACTGTCTCACTTCCCACTCATCTCGGCCCCTCTCCCTGCCCATCTGAGCAGCAGCGTCCCATCCAGCCCTCTTTCACCAAGTCCCTCTGCCGTGAGTCCCACTGGAAGTGCCTCCTGCTCTCGCTGCTCATGTACGGCTGCCTGGGGGCAGTGGCCTGGTGCCACGTCACCACGGTGACGCGCCTCACCTTCAGCAGCGCCTACCAGGGCAACAGCCTCATGTACCATGACAGCCCCTGCTCCAACGGCTATGTCTACATCCCCCTGGCCTTCCTGCTCATGTTGTACGCCGTCTACCTGGTGGAGTGTTGGCACTGCCAAGCCCGCCATGAGCTGCAGCACCGTGTGGACGTGAGCAGTGTGCGGGAGCGTGTGGGCCGCATGCAGCAGGCCACGCCCTGCATCTGGTGGAAGGCCATCAGCTACCACTATGTCCGCCGCACCCGCCAGGTCACCCGGTACCGCAACGGAGACGCCTACACCACCACCCAGGTGAGGAGCTGGAGGGGAGTTCGGGGCCATTCAAGATGGGAGGTGGTGCTTCGACCCTGCCCCACTCCCCTGCCCCCATGGGAGGAGCACAAGGCAGCAGTGAGCTCCCAGCGGGCACTGCAAAAGGACAGCAATAACGACAACCATAATAATAACAGCAAATGCTGACTAGGAGCCAGGCCCTGCTCTAAGTACTTTACAAATATTAAAATCATTTATTTAACCCTCATAACAACCCTATGAGGTAGGTATTACCTCCATTTTACAGATGAGGAAACTGAGGCTTGGAGAGGTTAAGTAACTTGTTCAAGGTCAAATAGCTGGTACGTGGTGGAGATGGGACTTGAACCCAAGCAGTCCGGCTCCAGGGTCTACACTGTTTAGTGCTTAATGGTTGGAGATGGCTTCACATGCCCAGTCTCACATGCTCTCACCTGTTCAGTGAGGTGACTGCTATCGAGTTCTCTCTCACAGGTAGGGGCACCTAAAATCAGTGAGTTGCCCAAGATCTGCAGCTCCTAAATGGTAGTGCTACAAGCAAACCCAGATCCCTGGATCCCAAGTCTAAGGCTCTCAGGGGAGGTAGGCAGGTCAGTCAGCACCTCCTGGAGCCGCCAAGTTCAGACAAATTGGGGTCCTGGGGGAGGAGATGTTCCCAGATGCAGGCGATCTCTGTCTCAGTGCAGGGAGCGGTAGACGGAAGCCTGATGCCTGTGAGAAGCAAGGCGGCGACTGAGTGATTGCTAAGGCCTGACGGGGAGACTAGAGACAGAGGGGTTCTTCAGGGAGCTCCTCTGGGAAGCCCATGCGGAAACACACCTGGAAAAGGGAAGAAGGGAGGCTGTGGTGATGAGCGGGCAGCACGGGGCAATGGAGGCGGTGGCAAAGGATCAGCCGAGCCAGAGGGGCAGTTCATGGCCAGTGCCTGACTCCAGAGGAAGAAGCGCTTAATTAAAATTTAAATGCACACAGGTAGGGCTAGGTTCTAGTCCCGTCCTCATCTCTAACTCACCGATTAAGCCGAGGGCCTCGGCTGCTCTATAAATCAGATGTAGAGATCCTGCCCTGCTCCAGCGGGCACCTAAACCAGGACAGGCTTAGGGTTTGACCAAGCAACCAGAGCAGCGACAGGGCGGGCGAGGACAGAGCGGGCACCGCGGCATGGGCTCCTCGCGACTCCGGCCGCCTCCCCCTGCGCCCCAGGTCTACCATGAGCGCGTGAACACGCACGTGGCAGAGGCGGAGTTCGACTACGCGCGCTGCGGCGTCCGCGACGTGTCCAAGGCGCTGGTGGGGCTGGAGGGCGCGCCGGCCACGCGGCTGCGCTTCACCAAGTGCTTCAGCTTCGCCAGCGTGGAGGCGGAGAACGCGTACCTGTGCCAGCGCGCGCGCTTCTTCGCTGAGAACGAAGGCCTGGACGACTACATGGAGGCGCGCGAGGGCATGCACCTCAAGAACGTGGACTTCCGCGAGTTCATGGTGGCCTTCCCGGACCCGGCCAGGCCGCCGTGGTACGCCTGCTCGTCGGCCTTCTGGGCGGCGGCGCTGCTCACGCTGTCGTGGCCGCTGCGCGTGCTGGCCGAGTACCGCACGGCCTACGCGCACTACCACGTGGAGAAGCTCTTCGGCCTGGAGGGCCCGGGCTCGGCGAGCAGCGCGGGCGGCGGCCTCAGCCCCAGCGACGAGCTGCTGCCCCCGCTCACCCACCGCCTGCCGCGGGTCAACACGGTGGACAGCACGGAGCTCGAGTGGCACATCCGCTCCAACCAGCAGCTGGTGCCCAGCTACTCCGAGGCGGTGCTCATGGACCTGGCGGGGCTGGGGGCGCGCTGCGGCGGGGCGGCGGGCGGCGGCTACGCGCCCTCGTGTCGCTACGGCGGGGTGGGCGGCCCGGGCGCGGCGGGCGTGGCCCCGTACCGGCGCAGCTGCGAGCACTGCCAGCGCGCGGTCAGCAGCTCGTCCATCTTCTCGCGCAGCGCCCTGAGCATCTGCGCCAGCCCGCGGGCCGGCCCGGCGCCTGGAGGGGGCGCGGGCTGCGCGGGCAGCCGCTTCTCGCTCGGCCGCCTCTACGGCTCCCGGCGCAGCTGCCTGTGGCGCAGCCGGAGCGGAAGCGTCAACGAGGCAAGCTGCCCCACGGAGCAGACGCGGCTGTCGAGCCAGGCCAGCATGGGGGACGACGAGGACGATGACGAGGAGGAGGCTGGGCCGCCGCCGCCCTACCACGACGCCCTCTATTTCCCGGTCCTCATCGTGCACCGGCAGGAGGGGTGTCTGGGCCACAGCCACCGGCCGCTGCACCGCCATGGCTCCTGCGTAGAGACCTCACTGTGACCTCCGGCCCCTGGAGAGGCCCGCGCCGCCGCCCTCCCGCCTGCTCCTCACCGGCGTGTGCTCACTGCGTGAAGCAGGGCGAGTCACGATGGTGACTGAGGCTGTGCTGGGGGGAGGGGACAGGGGAGGGAAGGGTGCACCCCGATGGGGCTGAGCCCCCCGCCGTCCCTGTACATAAAGAGACAGGTGGGAGGGGATGGGCAGCTCCCTGAGAAACCTACCCTGTTAGAATCCTCTCTTCAAGCCCCACCCCTTAGTTTCTAAGGGGAGACCTCCTTTCCCTACACGCACACTCGAGATGTCCTGTCTGGCCTCTCAACGGATCTTCTGACTGTTATTTGGCAACTGCGCTGTGGCACCCACGTTGGGCCTCATCTCGAGTGAGCGGCCCTCGCTGTGCATGCAGCCGGGAGGTTTAGAGGCTGTGGGGAAGGGAACTTGGGGCTGTCCTTCCTCCTTTACCTCACCCCCTGGGGTCTCTGTCTGTTGAGGGGGTGGTGGTTTGGTGACCAGCAGGCTGGCTTCCAACCAGCTAATGAATTCAGTGGGTCTGAGGCTGGGGCCAGGTGTCAGCCCAATACTGCATTCCAACACCGTGGAAATATTGCTGTCCTCTTCTTGGCGCTGACCCCAAAGACTGGGGTTTCCTTTCTGTCACTCCCTCCACTGTTGTTTATCTCACTGGGCCCCAGGAGTCTGGGTCCTGGAGGGACTGCGCTCACCATGCAGACCTCACTGCAGGCTCCCTCGCTGGGAAGAGCTGTTGCCAGGGTGCAGGGGGAGGGGCAGGTGAAGTGTGGAGGGCTGCGGACCTCAGTCCTTTCTCTAAACCCTGCAGCCTCCCAGCAGCCTTCTCACCTGGGTTCTGGACAGGTACTCTTTAGAGAGTGACGTGCCACCCAGGCGGCACTCATTAAAGCTGGCCAGGGTGAGTGACTAAGTGGAGAGAGCATGAGATAGACCTGGGTGACAATGGGGAACTCTGGAAGCAGGGGGGTGGGCGAGGAGTCAAGGGCAGTGGAGGGTAGAGCAAAAGGCCCTCCAAAGGTGGGGTATCTGTGAGGAGTGGCCTTTGCCTCCCCTAGACCTGTGGGGAGGAATGGAGTGTGCTTGTCCCTCACACACGCCTCTGCAGGGCTGAGGACATCACAAGCCCCAGCTGGAGAAATACTCAGTTCCAGTGGCAGGCTCAGAGGCAGGCGTTCTCTAAATCTTGCCTGTTCCCTCCATCCTCCCCTATCCCAAGGGCTGAAGCCCTGCTGTCTGTCCCAGGGTCTTCAAAGGGGAATCCTGCCAGCACCCCAGGGAGCTGGCCCTATGTTCTGTTCCCCCAAAGCTCTGACACCGCCTTCTCTCCCCATGCCCACCCCCACCACCTCCGCCCTGACGTGCTTTGGTGTGCATGTCCGTGAACAACCCCCCTACCCTCTGAACTCCCCTAGCTAAAGTTTTCCCAGCAGATTTAGCACCCAGGGATTGAGCTCACATTTCAGGCTAGAGAGGATAATTCTTGGGCCACTCACCCCTGATGCTTCTTATGTCCCCTGAACCATCAGAACTCCTCCCCCCCCTTCAGCCCCGCCCATCTTCCTCCAGCCCAGCCAGGCCAGTGGGCGTGGCCTCCACCTATGCAACATCTCCTCTGGCTCCCCTTCCCTCCTTCCCAGGGGGAATGTGAGGGGCCCAAATTGGAGGGACATCACGGCCTATGGCTCATCAGGGAGTTGAGCTTTACTTTCATGTAGGGATGGCTAAGTGAGGAGGGAGAGGAGGCCAGAGAGGAGGCTTAGGAAGCAGGAACAGCTGCCCACCAGGTTTTCCTGGGCAGCAGTGCCTACCTGCCTGCCAGCACTGAGTCTGCCTGGACCCTAAGTCTGTGCTCTTCTGGGGCCTGCAATTTGGAGCACCCCTCTTTCCTCTGAACGGACATCTGTGAGGTGCAGGTGGTTAGCTGTAGCCTCAGGCCCCAGTCCTTGGCCAGCTGGCACCTGGATGTCATGTCCGGTGTGAGGGCAGCCCCGCCACCTCATGGCTCCAAGGAGGGAGGGACTTGGCTCCTTCTCCTTCAGGCCTGTTCCTGAAACAGAGCCTGGCTTTGGAAGCGGGGAAGGGGGGCCCCTGTTATTATTTTTGCCTGTATTGACCATTTCTGCCTAGGTCTTCTCACACAAACAGCCTCAACTCCCACACACGCACAGACTTAGAGAGAAACCAATTCTTTGGTCTATTTTCTTGGTAGCTTTATTGATTGCCAGGGAAAATGAAAACCAGAAAATTAATTAATCTCTAAAATTAAACTTTACACTGAATGTTCTTGTTTCTCTAATTAGAACCTCTGCTAGCAGCTGTGGCTACTTACACACACTCACACACACCCTCACACCTACACGTTTGCACTCTGGAACTGTCAGAGGGTGTCAGGCACAGACAGACTCTAGGTTGCCCAGACAGACACACACATGCAAGTCACTCCCAAGTCCCCTTTGGTGCTCTGCTCAGCGCCTGCTGGTTGGAAGGAGTCCCTGGAGGGCAGACACTCCTTGATCCACCCTTTGGGGACACGGGTCTGGAGGTTCTGGGCCACTCAGCCCAAGGAGGGTGGGGGATGGGGCTCAGCCTGAATCCATCAGGTCCTCTTGTGGCCCCATAGGCTGATGTGATTCCTGTGGGTGTGGGCCCAGGTTGGGCAGCCACACAGCGATGGGGACTCATGGAGGGCACCTGGGAGGCTCCATGTGTCCTGAGGACAAGGGCTTGTGGGGTGGGCTGGGCCTGGCTGGGGAGAAGACAGGTCTCTGTCAATTGGGTGCATCACACTGTGGCCTTTCTGTTGTGGATTTCCAAGCGCAAAGATTGTACAGATCAAACTGGTGGACAATAAAGTTGTGGATGACTCACTGACTTTCCTGCCCAGTGCGGCACTTCTTTCCCTAGCTCCTCCCTCTTGTGAGAAGCTCTCTGGGATGGATGGCAGGGATAGTGCCATCCTTCCCTAGCTGTTGTCATCTGCAGTTGCCTCCCCAGGGGAAGCCACTGGGTCTGAGCCCCTCCTGTCACCTCTGTTGTCCTCTTCCCAGGCTGGGGGATTAGGGGATGGCATGGCCTGTAGAACTGGATCACTTAAAGCAGAGTAAAGCAACAGGCATCTGCAGGGGTGAGGGTGGCAGACAGAGCCAGGCATAGCTCTGCTGTAGCCAGAGGAGAGTGTGTGTGTTTGAAGGTCAAAGGTCTGTTCAGTGCAGAAGAAAATGTTGGGGAGGGGGCTGGGGGGGTTAGGGAGGTGGCTATCCCCATGGGAGAGTCTGGGCAGGCATAGTTCCTCAGAATCCTGACTTCCCTATCCCTGCAAGAAGTTGGCCATTTGTGGGGGTCCCTGGGCACAGGGGCTGGGTCCTACTTCATACCTCTTCTTCCCCGTCCCAGGCTCCCTCCCCCACCTCACATCTTTACCCATACAGCCCTTGGTCACTCACTCCAAGGATATGCATGGGCTCCTTTCCCCCTCCCTCTGAACCGGTGTGACTCTGCAGCAGGCAGGACAAGGGCATGAAATGAGAGATGGGGCTGGGGCACTGCCCTGGCCCTGTCCCCCACCTTATCCTGCAGAGTTCTCAGGGCCGTTGGCAGTGATGGGCGACATGAAGTGGCTGGGATTCAAGGCCTGCTGGCGGGCTGCCTCTCGGTTGGCACAGAGGGCCTGGCCGATGAGGTACTCGCTCTCCTGGGCCACATCTGACAGGCGCAAGTCAAACTCCAGGAGAGTCTTGTTGTCTGACATGCCTTCTAGGAGCTGCTTCCCGCCGTCCTGGGAGAGGGGTGGGAGCGAAGGGGTCACTTTACATCCCTAGCCAGGATCCCACACACGTACACACTTACATACAGATGCGACTGAAACGAAAGTTCCACAAAACAATACTTAACCTATCTGTGCAGCACATTGACATATTCTATTCCATTCCACTTGAAAAATGGTGACCAAGACCCACTAAACTGATGTCTCAACCCCAGTGGTTTGAAAAACATGAATCTCTGACAATGGTGGTGATTCCATTCCTTGGTTCAACCATGGGCACGTGGGACAAATCTAATAGGATGTGAGTGGGAAGTGTAGACGGGGTGGCTTCTGTGAAGGTTCTCCTCACTCGGAAAAGAGAATAAAAGAGGGGGGGTTCTCCCTTTTTCTGCCTCTGGGTGTGTCCCCTGTGTGAAGTGTCAGAACTGTAGCAGCCATCCGGGGACCATGAGAGAAGCACCAGAGAAGGCCACTGCCGTGTGGCTGGGGTGGGCAGAGCAGAGGGTGGCACTGAGCCAAGGGGTTCTGGCTATGGGAGATATTGAATATCCCTCCCATTTACGCCATTGCCCGGTTAAGCTTTCTATTACTTTGTAGCTAAGAGCACCCCCTTCGGAGACAGCGTGTGTGTGCATGTGTGTGTCTGCGTGCACATGCGTGTTTGAGAGCAGGGCTATTCTCATGGGGAGGTTTAGTAGAGGGTTCGGGAGCAAATTAGAGTGCACAAAGTGCCCCCCTCAATAGTCCGTAAAGCTCCAGCCCCTCTGGGTTGGGTGGGCCAGGCCCAGTGTGAAATAGTTTCATGTTGGGAGGCAGAACGCTGCTATTCTATGACTGTGACCCAATAGTGTGTAGCAAAGTCAATTTAATGGGTCAAAGAAGCACTTTAAAGCATGAAATTGAGTAGAATATACAGGCAAACATCAGCATATATCACAAGCAGTGAGTAAATTCAATATTATGTTTATGTATATGTTCACTAGGTGTTCATGTAAACTGCATTTCTTACTCCCAGACTTAATCAAGAAAGTTTGAGAGACACTGTCTATTAGAAAGGACCCCGGCTTTGAATCATTCTTGGGTTTGAATCATAGTTTTGCCACTGTCTACAGACTTGATGCTCTTGGGCAATTCACTAACCTCTCTGGGACTCAGTTTTCCATCTGTAAAGTGGGGTTAGGAATACTCATCTTAATTAGATAACTGTGAGGATTAGAGGAGAAAGAATGGATACTGGGGTACACACATTAGCAGAGTATGTATGCACACTTGAGCGAGTACATAGTATGTGAAGCCTGAGATCTTCACGCCTATCCCGCAGGCACCCCCTGGCAGGTGGATTGCACACTCATCCCTCGAGGGCCCCAGAAGCAGCGGCTCACCAGCCCGATGTGGTTGCAGGATAGGTTGATGCTGGTGAGCGTGGTGTTGACGGCCAGCACCTGGGAGAGCAGTGTGGCGGTGGGCTCCGACAGCTCGTTGCCACCGAGGTGCAGCGTGGTGAGGCACTTGTTGGTCTGCAAGGCGTGGGCAAGAGCCTGGCCGCCCTCGTCCTCGATGCAGTTGAGGCGTAGGTTGAGGGAAATGAGGTTGGTGTTGTGTGCCAGAGCATGAGCCAGTGACTGGGCACCCGGCGCACGCACCTGGTTGTTGGCCAGGTTGAGCACACGCAGGTGGCTGTGGCTCAGCAGCTTGGCAGCACCTCGTGCACCGCGGTCCCCAATGAGGTTATGTGACAGGTCCAGCTCCTCAAGGGCTGGGTGGTCCAGGAGGCTTCGAATTAGGATGCGTGCCTTGTCATCGTCCACCTTGCTTCGGGTCAGTCTAAAGATCTGTGGGCAGATAGAGGGTCTTCAGCACCTGCCAGCCAGGGAGAACTGCCTGCTGGCCTACTTTTGTAGGTAGAGGAGGGAGCCTCAGGGAAGCCTAGGGCTCTGGTGTTGGCCACCTGGCTGGCTCTTGGGATGGGCAGGCCTACCCAGCATGGCAGGGTGCTGCAGAATTGGTGACAGGCAGAAGGGGGAAAAGTCTACCGCTTATTGAGCAATAACTACGTGCTGGGTATGTTGCTTGGATATTTCATAACCATTATCTCTAACCCTCAGCATCCTGATAAAGAAGAGTGGTTTCTCTCCGATGGAGAGAAAATGGAGGTGTAGGGCAGTTACATCACTTGTCTAGAGTGACATAGTGACTGGGTGGCAGAGGCAGGTTTGGAATCCAGGTCCGTCTGCTGCCCCTCAGCCCCTCACTGCATCCTCCCCAGCTGGCTAAGATCCACCATGGCAAGGAGAGGGACTCTTTGGAGGAAGTTTTCAGGGACAGAACCAGCGAGAAAGTGGGGAGGGTGAAAAGCAGGAAAAGGATGGGGTGAAGGAATAAAAGAAAGTAGTGGTGCTACAGTGTGAATATTGTACCCTCCCCCTCTCCTTCCCACCGGCTTTTCCCCCCCACCCCCACCCCAAGACCTCTGAGTGGCTGGCTTCTCTCCCTCATCCTTCAGTTCACTGCTTTTTTCCATCCCTTGTAGCCAGCTTAGAGTTTTTTGTCTCTCTTATCTTTTCACTGCATCTATCCGGCAAACCCCCAGCTCTGGATCAACAACACTGTGTTTTCTTTTCTTTTTTTTTTTTGAGACAGAGTCTCACTCTTTTTACCCAGGCTAGAGTGAGTGCCATGGCATCATCCTAGCTCACAGCAACCTCAAACTCCTGGGCTTAAGCGATCCTTCTGCCTCAGCCTCCCAAGTAGCTGGGACTACAGGCATGCACCACCATGCCCGGCTAATTTTTTTTTTCTATGTATTTTTAGTTGTCCGATTAATTTCTTTCTATTTTTAGTAGAGATGGGGTCTTGCTCTTGCTCAGGCTGGTTTCGAACTCCTGAGCTCAAACAATCCACCCGCCTTGGCCTCCCAGAGAGCTAGGATTACAGGCGTGAGCCACCACGCCCGGCCTAACATTGTGTTTTCTGCATGTCTGTCCGCAAACAACTGACATGATGGAAAACGTCAGTGGGTCTGGACTGGCTGCTCTCACTGGAACCACCAACAGGCCCACAGTGCTGTGTGCCAACCCAACTGTTTCTCTGGCCAAAATGTCCTCTTGTAATCTACAAACAGTTCAACTATTTTCAGCCTCCTTAGACTTCAGGGAGCCTCCCTGCTGAGCCCCCTTTCAGCAGGTGACTTCTCTTCCTGCCTTCCCGGCCACTGAATGGGAACCTCTTCTTTTCCTGATATCAAACACAGACCTGTTGCTACCCACCCAATCCCCTCTTCCCCCCGCCCAGCACCAACTGCCCCCCTCAGTCCTAGGTCCAACCCCTCCATTCTTCTCAGGAACCTTCCTTGGTCTGTGACCCTGCACCTCTCTCCTATAGGCAGCCCCTTCTTTGCAGCTAGATGGAGAGCCTTACATTGGTTTTAAACACATGCACTTTCTTCTTAGGAAACCCAAAGCTCTCATGTGATGCTGCTCTAACTCTCCCCCTTCCCAGCCAAGTTCTTGAACACGCTGATCACAGCCATCCACTCCTCACTTCCCACTCTCCCCATAAACCTCTGCTGTCTGGCCTCTGCTCCTGGCACGCCGCTCAGGTAGCTCCCCCTCAGTGGCCTCCAGGCTTGCGAAGTCCAGTCCCCAGCTCCACTCGACGCCCCTGCTCACACCCTCTACTTGAAATGGGCCCCTCCCTTGGCTCTGTGACACAATGCCCTGCCCCCCCTTTCCTCCTCCCTCTGGTCTCCTGGCAAGCATTCCTTCTCCTGCCAAGACCACACGTCAGGTCTCTTCTTGTCTCACTTTTGCTTTCCCTCAGGAGACTCCATCCAAATCCAGGGCTTCAGCTGCCACCTCCGTGAAAGCGGCACACATTGCCACGCTCAATCCACGCCTCCCATCTGAGCTTCAGGCACTCTACTCAACGAATGACATGACCCTTTCCTTGGGATGCCTCAAACTGAACTCGCACGCTTCCTCCTCAAAACTGGTCTTTGTCCCACATTCCCTGTCTCTGCAAATGGCCCCTCCAGCCACCTGGCCTCATGAGCCGGAAGCCCTGACACCTCCTTCTGCTTCTTTTTCCTCTAGGCTCTCCGACACCAGCAGGTTGGTTTGACTGCCAAGTGACCTAACTGCCAAACATCCCTTGAATCTCTCCACCTCTCTCAGTGTCCACAGAGACTATCCCACTTCAAACTGCCCTCGTCTTCACCTGGATTTGGCAGAGGTCTCCCAGGTGACCTATACGTTCACTGTTGCCCTGCCCAGACCATTCTCCTTCTTAGAGTTATCTTTTCACAAGGAAAAAATCCAATAATGTTACCTCATTTTTTTGCCTAAAACCCTTGGATGGAGTCCCAGAGCAAATACAGATACACACATACTCCTTAGCAAGGCCTCCTGCACCTGTGAGGCTGACCACTGATCGCCTGTCCATTTCATCCCGCCCTGCTCCCTCACACTCAACTCCAGCCACACGGCCTTCTCTCTCAGCAACTTGAGCTGGCTATGTTCACTCTGCCCATAGGGACCCTATGTGCTGCTCCCCCTGCCTGGAATGTTCCCCCCTCTCTCCTTAGACTGTAATTTCTACTCCTGCTTCTGATCTCTATGTAAGTGACACTTGCTCAGGGAAGACTTCCCTGGCAAGATCAAATGCCCCTTTTATAATCTCTCATAAGATTATCTCTTCTTGGGCAGGCAGGGTGGCTCATCCCTGTAATCCCAGCACTTTTCAGAGCTGAGGAGGAAGGATTGCTCGAGGCCAGGAGTTCAAGACCAGCCTGGGCAACAGAGTGAGACCCTGTATCTACAAAAAATTAGCCAGGTGTGGTGGTATGCACCTGTAGTCCTAGCTACTCAAGAGACTGAGGTGGGAGGATTGCTTGAGGCCAGGAGTTCGAGGCCAGTCTGGGCAACATAGCAAGACCCCATCTCTACAAAAAATAAGAAAAATTGGTTGGGCATTGGTGGTGTGTGTCCAAGCTACTTGGGAGGCTGAGGCAGGAGGATCGCTTGAGCCCAGGAGTTCAAAGCTGCAGTGAGATATGCTAGAGCCACTGCACTCCAGCCTGGGCAACAAAGCAATATCCTATTCATCCCAGTTTAAGGTTAACAGAAAAGAAAAATACAGGATGCCCATTTAAATTTAAATTTCAGATAAACAACTATGTCCCATGGAGTATTTGAGACATACGAATACTAAAAAATTATTCGTTGTCTATCTGAAATTCAAATTTAATTGGATGTCTTGTATTTCTATTTGCTACATCTAGCAACCCTATTCTAGCTGCAGTTTTATGTTTATGTGGTTGCTGATCAGTGCCTTTTATGCTACCAGACTGTTAGCTCCAGAGGGCACACGTGGTGAAGTTTTGCTCATCTTCAGCACCTAGGACAGGGCCTGGCGCACAGATGTTTGTTCAAGGAAACAGCGTAGTGAGCTGGGAGGGCAGTGCCTTGTTCATCTCTGCATCCCCAGAACCTAGTAGCTTGGTGCAGGATGCAGTAAAACACTTGGCCAATGAAAGAGAAAGAAATGGGAGGAAGAAGATGATGACAGAGAAGGAAGGGGAAGGGAGAGGGAGTCTGAGAGATGCTGAGAAGGGGGGCGGATAGGGCGTTGAGGCGGGGGGCAGATGGTACCTTGAGGGTGTGGCATGCCTTGATGGTGGCCGCCAAGGAGTGGCAGTCGCGGTAGGTGAAGAGGAAGAGGTTCCACTCGAAGTTCATGCCGCAGTCCTTGACACCGTACACCAGGTCAAGCTCTTCCAGGTGGCTCAGGCCAGCCACCAGGTCACCAAGCTGGTAGTGGTCCATGACGGGCTCCTCCATATCGCCCTCGCTGCCGGAGTCCGACTGGTCCCCGGTCCGGGGCGGGGGCGGGAGCTGCACGGGTGGAAGGAACTGATCCACGCGGATCCTGCGCACGTAGTTCCTGCAGAGCGGCAGCAAGTCGAGGATCACCGCGGGGTCCGTGGTGCCCGGAATAAAGTGCTTTAGCAGGTTCTCCAGGTGCCGCTCGAAGAACATGTGCTTCCAGCTGCCGTCGTGCCGGGCCACGTGGCACACGGGCCAGCGCTGCGTGCAGCAGCGGCGCCAGTAGCTCTCATCGTCTATCAGGTTGGCGGTCACCTCCAGCGGCAGGTCAGGGGACAGGTGGTTCAGGACCTTCTGCTGGTGCTCTGGGAGCAGTTGCTTCAGGATTGGGTTTTCTTTAGGAAGAGAGGAAGGAAAGCAGGGGTCAGAGTGTGGGGGACATCGCAACAGGTGCCCCGGGCTGGGCCTGCCTGGGGGAACTAAGGAAAGGTGAGACCCTCCTATGGCCTCAGGGAGTTCCAGTTTGAGAGGAGAGACAGCCTCTGTTCTCAGGGAGGCTCAATCTGAGGGGGAGACATAGCCACTGGCTTTGGGATGTTCCGGCCTGAAGGTGGACATCTCAGCATCTGGTCTCAGGGAGCTCCCAGTCTGAGGAAGAATCTCAGGTCCAAACCTCATTTATCACCTAGTCTGATGGAGGAGACAATCCCTGACTTCAGAGTGGCCCCATCTGATTTGACCGATTCATTTCAAAACAAATATTTTTTTAAGCAGTGGTCTCCAGCCTTTTTGGCACCAGGGACTGGTTTCATGGAACACAATTTTTCCACGGATGGGGTTGGAGGGGATGGTTTCGGGATGAATCAAGTGCATTACATTTATTGTGCAGTTAAACCTCCCTGCTAATGATAATCTGTATTTGCAGCCACTCCCCAGCGCTAGCATCACCACCTCAGCTCCATCCCAGGTCATCAGGCACTAGATTCTCAAAAGGAGCGCAACCTAGATCCCTTGCATACGCAGTTTACAGCAGGGTTTGTGCTCCTATGAGAATCTAATGCCGCTGCTGATCTGACAGGAGGCGGAGCTTGTGCGGTGATGAGAGTGATGGGGAGCGGCTGTAAATACAGATGAAGCTTCCCTCACTCCCCGCTGCTCACCTCCTGCTGTGCAGCCGGGTTCCCAACAGGCCACGGATCAATACTGGTCCTCGTCCCGGGGGTTGGGGACCACAGTTTTTAAGTACCTACTGTGTGCCAGACTGTTCTAAGTGTTGGGGATATAAGAGTGAACAAAATAGAGCAAGTCCATCCCTCCTGGAGTTTACATCCTAGTGAGGGGATGCAGACAATAAACAAGCAAAATGAATATACACTAGGTCAGGTCACTAGGTCAGCTGCTGTAGGCAAAACGACAGCCTGTCCTGTCGAGAGCCCCACATCTGGCAGGAGAAGCTGGCAACTCATCTTTGGAAAGAGCACAGAGTACAGAACAAACCAGGGGCCCATACATGGCATAGACGACTCCATCAGAGTGCAGGGTGGTTAATGTGGAGGGCTTTCTGGAGGAGGAAGGAGATCTATGGTTTAGGCTGGGTCTCGCTGGAGAGAGTGGAAAAGGCGAGGAGAGGGTACAGGCATGGAAAGCACAGTGTGGGTGGGACCTGCAAGTGGGAACAGCAGGAGGAACTGTCTTGGCCTTGGGTGGAAGGGAAGTGTTGAGTGGTATGAGGATGCCATGTGGGAGGGCAGGGGCTGCCCCAGGACCCAGCTTCTGAGGCCTCGGCTCCGGACAGTCCCCACCCACCCTGCCCCACTCCTGGCCTTCTCCTTCCCACCCGAAGCAGGGACAGACTCACTCTGGAAGTTCTTGACGATGTGCTGAATGCAGAGCTCTGTGAGGAGGGGCACAATGGCCAGTGACCACTCAGCATCCTCAGCAATGATCCGGCGCATCCGATGGAAATTGGCCCCAGAACTTGGTGTTTTTGACTTTGCGGGGACAAGTGTGACTGAGGGCTTCGAGGGCTGTGGGATTGTGCTCGAAGTGTAGCCTACAGTGGAGGACCTTTCCCGGGTAGCGACTGAGGAGTGGCTGCGGGCTGACGATGTTGGTGGTGTTGCAGCATCCTGCATGCTGGGGGCTGGCAAGGTAGGGGCAGGTGGACCCTGGCTGACCTTGCAACAGGAAGCTTCTCACAGTGGCACGACCTTGATGCAGGTGGGGACCTGGCGTAAGAGAAAGAGGGTAGAGGTATTACTTTGGAGGGTCTTGGTGGGCATTTACCAAGAGAGGTGGTGCACAGTGGTGCTTAAAGGGTCAACCTCTAGAGAGAAGCAGATCCAGGTACAAATCCCACAGGCTGTGTGGCCTTAGGCAATTTACTGAACCTCTCTGAATTTCAGATGCTGCCTCTGTGAAATGAGGTAACAGTCCCCGTGGGATTATTTAGAAGAGTGAATAAAATAACGCACCCAAAAGGCATAATATATTATCCAACACATGAACTAGCAAGGAGCAGCCCGAAATTTTAGATAATTTTAGACACTTTTTAGTTCCTTATGCTTATTAATTCATTTGTCCTCACAAAAGCCTTTTTAAGATCGGAGCTTGTATTATTCCCATTGGTCTGATGGGAAACTGAAGAACAGAGAGGTTAATTGACTTGCCCAATGTCACACAGCTTATAAATATCAAAGAGGGACTTAAACTCAGTCTATCAAGTTCATGCTCTGAACCCTACACTATACTGCCCCTCTGAGGGTTGGGGTGGCGAAGTAAGTGTATTGCCAAAAGACTGAGGTACAATAAAAAACCATTTATTTAGTTCAAAACAGGACCCTGCACTAAGTATTTTATAGAACAGCAACTACCTGATCCAGAGGATAGGGCTGAGAACAGCTCTGGCCAACAGAAATATAATGCAAGCCAAAATGCATGCCACATAAGCTATTTTAAATTTTTTAGTATCTACATTAAAAAGACGTAAAGAGAAACAGGTGAAATTAATTTTATATTTAACCCAGTATGTCCAAACTATTATCATTTAAATATGCAATCAATATAAAATTATTAATGAGATATTTTATATCTGTTTTCATACTGAGTCTTCAAAATCCCATGGGTCAATAGGCATATCGAGCTTGTGGCTACCACTTTGGACAGTGCAGGGTGAGAAAGAAAGGGGAAGGGAAGCAGACCCATGCCCTGCCCAGGGTGCCAGCACCTTCCTCTTCTCCTGCCCACGGAGGGCTCTGGGTCCCCTCCCTCCCATCTCCCCACCCTAGTCTTCCTGCTAGTTCTCCCAGCCTCCCGGCACTCCAGACAGCAGCGGCAGGCGTGGGAGGCGAGAAGGCAGCTAAATCTGGGGCTGAAGGCAGAAGACAGAGGATGTGTTTGGGTCTGGGGACCCTCCCCGATTTGCCCATTCCTGCACCCTTGCTGTAGGCCTCCCTGCCCTGAGACCTGCAAGAGGAAATGGGGCTGCCGGGCACGTGGCTCCTCTTCCAGGCAGTTTCCCCTCAGATTTGCACCCTGACTCGGCGCACTGCACAGTGGCCGGCAGGAAGGAACACTCTGAACCAGCAAAGGCGTCCTTGGCAGAGTGAGGGACCAGATGGTGCTCCCCAGCCTGCCAGGCATCTCAAGGAGGAAAAGCCTGGCTGAGAGGGGTTTGTGGAGAGAGGGACAGTGTAGGGAAGATATCTAGGTATTGTGACATCCCTTATGCAAATGCAATGCAAATTCACAAACAGATTGTGTCCAGAATTGTGGGATAACAGCGTGCTTTTTGACTAATGGCGTTTTGACTGAGGGCGGGGCTGGGAGCGGGTACTGCCTAGAGGCACCAGCTGACTCTGCATTTCTGGCTTTGCCAGTTATTTGCTGTGTGAACTTGGCCAAGTTACTTCACCTACCCCAGCTTCAGTTTCCCTATCTGTAAAACGGGATAATAGTGTCTTCCTGTGTGGTCCGTTGTGGAGATTCCTCTGAGATACGCTGGATTAATATTGATAATATTTGTGAAGGGTACTGGAGGGGCACGTGGGGCATGAAGACACTAAGGGGCAGGAGTCCGAGGAACAGGACGCCATGCCCTGGAGACCTGCCTCGTGAGTGTGACCTGAGATGTATCTTTGAGTGAGGGTGACGTCCTGAGGCCCTTCCCTATTTCCAGGGGGGATGTGGAAGGTGAGGTGGAGGTGGTGGTGTTGGGGGCTGCACAGACAGCAGGACGGAGGCGAGGGAAGGAAGGGAGTCGGAGGCAACAGGCCAGCCTGCTCCTGCCAGCCCCACATCTTCGCTCCCTGGCTGCTTCCACGGTTCTGGCCTAAAACATTCTGTTGTTTCCCTTGGTTCCAGATATGTCCCAGGACATCTGTGGGCCACACCCAGGGGAGCAGGACCAGGCTTGGCAGGTGGAGCCCCAGGTTACTTGCGGGCGATGCCCTGGAGTTGGCTCTTTGGGCATTACTCACACTACCACCCAGCTGCACCATCCTAGTAGGCAGTCCATTCTCCTTCCTCCCGGGAGGCCGCACCTTGGGAAACCCCATGTGGGGCCAGGCAGGATGCCCTCTGCGATGGGGTGACCCTGGTTTCACTGTCTAGTGCCTCAGTCTTTCAGGTCCTGGCAGCTCTTGCTAAGATCTGGTCTTAATTACTCTTGCTGCTCTTTTATACCTGCAGCCTGCCTCTGGGCGTGACACAGCAGGACCCATCCAGGGGAACTGTTCCAGGGCCCTGAACCAACTCCTCAGAAGGAAGGGGCAGAGCCTCGCATCACATGGCTGCCATGTGCATGGCTGATAGAAAAATGAGACCCTACCATCTTCCAGCGTTTGCAGAAACATCCATTCCATGAAGCCTGATGTGATTTCCTTTTCTTTTTTTTTTAGAGACACGGTCTCGCTCTGGTGCCCAGGCTAGAGTGCAGTGGTACAATCACAGCTCACTGCCACCTTGAACTGCTGGGCTCAGATGATCTTCCTGTCTCAGCCTCTGAGTAGCAGGGACTACCAGTGCACACCACCATGCTTGGCTAATTTTTAAAAATTTTCTAAATTTTTGTAGAGATGGAGTCTCACTTTGTTGCCCAGGCTGGTCTTGAACTCCTGGCCTCAAGCGATTCTCCTGCCTTGGCCTCCCAAAGTGTTGGGATTACAGGCATAAGCCACTGCTCCCAGCCTTGTGATGTCATTTTTAAGGCAAATGTTGAAAACATTAACTGTATAGTAAGGTCAGAGTTGATAATTTCCAGTTAATAATCTCTTGATTTTTTAAAAATAGATATTATGAAAATATTTTTGGCAAGCAAATTATTACCAGATGCAAAGGATTCTTCTAAGGAGGATTTTAGTTCCAAATGTTTTTAAAAATCTATTTTAAAAAAAGAATGCAATTAAAAACAAAGTATATTTAAAAGGATAATGAGCAAAGCTAACTCCTTGTCTCCCTGTATTAGTGTTATAAATAAAGATGACAGAAAGTATGGGCCCTCCCTTGGCAGATCACACTTCTGACCCCTGCCCTTGGTAATCACCCCTGGGCATGCCACTCTCTTGGGTCTCCTCCTACCTCTGACCATTCTTTGTCGAAAAATCTTCCAGCCTGAGCAAGAGCGAGACCCCGTCTCTACAAAAAATAGAAAATTAGCCAGGCGTGGTGGCACATGCCTATAGTCCCAGCTACTCAGGAGGCTGAGGCAGGAGGATCGCTTGAGCCCAGGAGTTGGAGGTTGCATGGTCGCCTACCTCACTCCTGCTGATGGCTTGCAGCTCTCGCTTCTTCTCTGACTTCCAGACTCAGGTCCACTGGGACGTCTCCCAGGTCCCTCAAACTCAATCCATGCAGAAGCCTGGGAGTTACCTCTCTCCTTCAGCCCCTGGCTCCAGCCCTGCCATCTAATTACCAGTTCAGTTCTGTTCTCCTTTCCTGCTGCGCTAGCTCAGGGCCTCCGTTGTCGGTCTGGATCTTAGCTTCAGCTGTCCAGCACTGGTCTCTGGCACCCAGTCTGGTCCTCTACATTTAGCCTCCGCACAGCTGCCAAGCAGGCCTCTGTGTAAGCCCTTTACCACTCAGCACCGCTCCCTGGGTAAAACCTGGCTTCCACTCGGTCTAAGGCCTTCCGTGACTAGACACTCTGTTGGAAATTAATTCTTTGCATCTGGAACACTGTTCATGCTTCCCAGCCTTTGCTCGAGCTGTTCCCTCTGCCTGAAATGCCTTTCCCACCACTCAGCCTGGGAAAGGGCCCATCATTGATCTTCTGCGAGCTCAAGCACCACTTCCTCTCTGAAGCCTTTCGGCCTTTCTTGTCCCCCATCCCTGAAAACAACCCCTCCCTTTGTCAGACCCTGCCCCTTCCAGTACCTGTGTCACTTAGGTGATACGATTGCTCACCCTCTCCCCACACTCACACTAGACTGTGCGCTCCTTGAGGTGCAGGGGATAGTTCTTACTCATTTTTATCTTTCATCCTTAGCTAGCTCAGTGCCCGGCCTGCTTTAGGCCGGGTAGCTGGTATTTGGGGCTGCCCCACTCCCTTCTGGTAATAGACTCTGGCCAACAGGAGTATCCTATTGGTCAGAGCGATTGGCTCCGGGTGGGGCTACCTGATGCAAGCCAATCAGAGTCCTTCTTTGGATCTGTCCGAGCGGAGGTGGGCAGAAGGACATATGTCCCTGAAGGATATGGATCCCCTGCTGCTGGAAGTAGTTTCCCTCCACACCCACAAAGCCTGTCTGCAGCGGGAGGGAATGAAGCCTGGAGGAGACCGGCAGAATGAAAGACAGAGCACCCTGGTAGCTTCAGTCCCTTCCTAGTCCCCAAGGCCCCCAGAACTGCCCAGTTCCTGGCAGCTAAGTTGTCAGTCTTCTAACGAGTCCCTTTTGCTGAAGCTAAGAGTTGGGTCTGCCCCTTTTGACCAAAAGGTCCTGACCATTTGGATATGCTCACAGTTTGGTGAACGAAATTACGAGAGAAATCCTAAATCAGTAGATGAAGTAGTTCAATGGGATAGCTGAGGAGGGTCAGAGGCTCCCAGGTCATTACCCGCAGGGCCTGATATCTCACTCCTGTGGCCTCTTACTTCGTCTCCTGACCACACTGAGCTGCCAGCCCCATACCCCCTCCCTCCAGGGATGGGACAGTATCAATGACTCACAATTGTTTAGCACTTAACAGTTACAAGGTCCTTTCAGAACTATTTTCTCATTTGAGTCTTCAACCGCCCTGTAATGGAGGCAGGGTGGGCTTCCTTGGCCCCATTTCACAGGTGAAGAAACTGATGACCAGAGCAGAAAACGACTGGCCCTACCACACCTAGGAGGGCTGGGGCCAGGGCCCGAGGGCAGGTCTCCTGCCTCTCACCACGACACACTGCCCTTCCACAGTCGCGCCATGTGTCACCCTCCCCACGCTTTTCCCACCCTCCACCAGGAGAGAAGAAAGAATGTTCCTGCTCCTTGGGAAGTGGGAGGGCCTCCCTGGGCTGAAGAGCTCCCAGGCCTTTGCCACCCTTCTATGGGAATTTCAGGGCCTTAAGAAGGTTTTCATCCCTGTTACGTTAAAATGCATTTTCCCGCTAAATAAAACAAAATCTTAATATTACATATATGTGTGCATACATCCATATGTTAATCTTGAGGTGCTTTCAAAAAATTCATCCCATTATTTTAGGTCAAACAAAAGTATAGTAAATTACAAAATATATACTGACACTAATGCAGCAAACTTTGACTATATATTATATATAATAAGAGGGAGATATATATATATATATATATATATATTTTCATTCCACGCCTCAGTGTGAACGAGTTTCAGATCCAAAAAGCAAAGTTAGGAAGGGGCAAGGAGAAGGTACCACTGAGAAGGGAGAAGGTGGGGAGGGACCCCAGGGGAACGGGAGGTGGGAGGCTGGGATAACTGCACTGACTGCACAGGTCGGCGGCCTTAGTCCGGCCTGGCAACCACCATCTGCAGCTGAGGTGGCAGTAGGTGGCACTTTCTTCCTTGGGAGTCTGCAGGGATGAGTAGATACCCATTAGCTGGGGGCCGAGGGGCACCCTGACAAGGGGCTACAGATGGCCATCCCAGAAGTGGCAGAGGGCTCAGTTTCTTATCTGGAACCTTCTCTCCCTGGGGAGTCTGTGGGTCAGTCAGAGAATCTCAGAGTTTTTTTTTTTTTGAGACAGAGTCTCACTCTTTTTTGCCTGGGCTAGAGTGAGTGCCATGGCGTCAGCCTAGCTCACAGCAACCTCACACTCCTGGGCTCAAGCGATCCTTGTGCCTCAGCCTCCCGAGTAGCTGGGACTACAGACATGCGTCACCATGCCCGGCTAATTTTTTCTATATATTTTTAGTTGGCCGATTAATTTATTTTCTATTTTTAGTAGAGACGGGGGTCTCGCTCTTGCTCAGGCTGGTTTCGAACTCCTGATCTCAAACAATCCGCCCGCCTCAGCCTCCCAGAGAGCTAGGATTACAGGCGTGAGCCACCGCGCCCGGCCTAGAATCTCAGTGTTTGAAGACTGGAAGCATGTTCAAGTCTCTAGTTCTTCTCCGGGGTAGGAATCCTGACATTCCAGAGAGGTCAGGGCCACCAGGAGTGAATACCTCCTATGCCACTGCCTGCTGTCCCCATCTAAGAGCACTCCCTGCCCGCAGAGGGGGAAGTGGGAGAGTGAGGACATGTGCAGGGGACTTTTATCTCTCCAGGGCCTGCATCACGAGCCTATTGGGCTTCCTGTGGCCGTGTCTCCAATCCAGGGCCACAATCCCTAGCAAAAGGTCAATTCTCCTCCCCCCAGCCTCCTACTCTGTGTTCCCAGGACCAGCATCCAGGGTCCTGCAATCACATTCAGGGAACAACGTTCACACTAGGCCATAACTCAAAGCATTGGGTGTTGAGGTCTGCTCTGTACATGCCCAAGCCCAGATAACAGAAAGTGACAAGATGCCCCAGTTTGGCCAGGGTTGTCCCCGTTTTTGATGGCTTGCATCTGGTGGGCAGGTGTTCTGGGAACACATCCTTGGCTATATATAGCTGTGATTTATCTCGCGCTAGGCCCTCAATAGCATGTACATAGCAGGAGGCAGGACAGCAGCTGGCTGCGCACTCAGAAGTTGCACTGCCTCAGGCCAAATCTCCACTCTGGCCCCCAGCGTCTGCGAGACCTTGGGCGAGTCATCTAACCCCACTAAGCCTCAGTTTCTTCATTTGCAAAATGGGGGTGGTAATTAATAGTACCTACTTCGTAGGATCATCCAGAGGATTAAGGAGCTAATGTGTGTGAGACGTTTCATATAGTGCTGGGCCCAGAGCCAGCAGTCAAGATACGTGTTAGATGTTATGATGGGGATGTTAGGATGCCTTATTTACAGAAGTGTATGAAATCCTCAAATTAAATCCTCTCTTACTTCCATGAGATGTTGTTACTTCCATGGGTTGCTTATAAATTGCTGCCAACTTGGTCATTCGCAGCACTTTTCTAGTGGGCCTCCCACTTCCTCCAGCTCATGAGCTTTCTTATCACCAGTGGAGAGCCCAGGGTCACCCCCTTTGGTGCTGGCTCTCTCCCCCATCACTGTGGGCGCTGGAACCTTCCACAGGCGGGGCTGCGTGAGGCCCCACGGAGACGCGATGGGATGCTGCAGAGTTGTGCTCTCCTGCCCCGGGGCTCACGCTGGGCCTTCGATGCACATTTGCTCCTCACAGGGGAGGTCTCAGGCCTTCTCCATCCTTCCTCAAGTCCCCTCTTAAATCCAACCACTCTGGGCAGAGGCTCCTCCCACCTGTCCAAACGGGAAAGTGGATGTGTGTGGGAGTGTTCTCACCTTCGTGCTGCCACAGCCTGGCCCTCAGCTGCCCTCACCTCCCCTCCTCTTGACTGAGAAGCAGGGGCACCCAGCCCTCTTTCAGCTCGGGAGCACCTCTGCGCCCAGGGACACTTCGCCTGAGCTGTCTCAGGGTGAGGCCTGCCTGACAGAGCTCTCCGGCTCCCCATCCACTTCTCCCACCTGCTTGTCTGCCTCCTTAGCCAGCACCCTGCCCTCAAACCCAGGGTCCCCTCAGGAGAGCCCTCCTCAGTCATCTGTCCTCAGGGGCCTGGGCTTTTGTCCACACCTGCCTTGATCTCTTTCATGCCCACCATGTCTTACCTTGGGGCACGTCACTCCCAAGTTGGGAATTCCCAGTTTGTGGAATCACAACAAGAGGGGCAAAAAGTGTCTCTGGCTGAGCCTAAGCCCAGCATGCTTGGTCTTTGGCTTGGGGAAACACACTCAAGCGACTTCGCTTGCTTATCACAACCCCTGGGCCTGGCCGTCTCCCACTCCTGCCCACTTAGGTCTCTTGTCGCCAAAAGGACTCCCACGGCTTTGCTTCCCACCCCTCATCCCTACCTCCTGCTCAGACACCCCAGCAAGGAAGCTGAGCTGCAAAGGCCAACCAGTTCCTCCCCATCCTACCTGGGGTGAAGAGGCACTGGCTTCTCCTCGGTAACCAAGGGAAACGGCAGTGCGGTGGGAGGCAAGGACCTGCAGGAGCTGGGGATGGGGGACAGCCTTTCTAAGAAGACCGGGGCCCCAGGGCTTAGGGCCACTCTCCTCCACGACCTGCCGATGATGCAAGCCCTCCTTTCACCCTCCCCCTTCCCAGGCACCCTCTCCTCTTAGGGGACCCCCAGCCTCTGGGCCAGTTTGCAGGCAGCGACTGTGGTGGGGGAGGAGGCGCGGGTCACCTTCAAGTGGATGGCAGGTGGGAGGCCTCCTGCCGGTCCAGACCACCCTTCCCCACCACGGGAGATGTGGGAGCCCAGCCGACGGCCGCCTGCGGGCTTCCGGCCTGTGTGGGCTGAGGGCGCTGGAGGGGCTTCCGGGCCCCGCCAGCGTGAGGGGGCCCGATAGAGGAAACCTGGGGTCGGGTGTCCCCTCTCCCGGATGTCGCCTCACCCGCTCCCGGAGCCCAGGCGCTGGCCTTCGCGCAAACCCCAGCTGCCGGCGCCGGTCGTTAGGGACGCACCGCGTCGCCAGGGGCCGGGCCCGGTGGGGGAGGGGCGCGCGCCCGCCGCTGCGAGGAGTCGGGGGGTGGCCCGAAGGACTGTCCCTCCGCCGCAGCAAGGCGGCCAGGCCCTGCCTCAGGACATTTCCTTGGAATCGGCTGTGCGGAGAGCGCTGTGTGGGGCCGCTGGAACTGCTTTGTGTTTCTTGGGGGCGTGTTCAGCAATGGGTGGGCTTTTTGTTGGGGGAGGTGGGGCATTGGTACTTCTTTTTTTTCTTTTGAGACAGGGTCTCACTCTGTTGCCTGGGCTAGAGTGCAGTGGCACATCATCTATTTTTAGTCTCGCTATGTTGCCCAGGCTGATCTCAAACTTCTGGCCTCAAGCGATCCTCCCGCCCGGGCCTCTCAAAGTGCTGGGATTACAGGTGTGAGCCAACCGTGCCTGCCCTGCCGACCTTCTTGGTACCTTTTGTAGGGAAGTGATTAGGAGGTGGGGGCTGGGAAGATGGTCCAGGAAGTGTCAGTGGAAGATGAGGAGGGTGAAAGAACTTTCTTTTCTTTTTGAGACAGAGTCTCACTCTGTCACCCTGGGTAGAGTGCAGTGGCATCATCATAGCTCACTGCAACCTCAACCTCCTGGGCTCAAGGGATCCTCCTGCCTCAGTCTCCCAAGAAGCTGGGACTACAGGCACACGCCACTGCGCACAGACAGGTGGAAGGACTTTCTCCAGGGCATCTATACGAGTCACTTGAACTCCCCTGGGGCTTCCTGTTGACCCCAAACCCTGCAGGAGGTCACCTTCCACCTTTCTCCAGGCTGACGTCTGGTTCTAGAGGCAGGACAGTTCCAGGCCTCCGCAGTGCTGCTGCACACAGACCAAGCCATGTGCCAAACCCCCTTCCAGCCCTGGCATGACAGCATGTGGTTGATGCCCCTGATCTGGAGGGTAAGAGTGACAGACTTCAGGGAGTTGGCTAGTAAAAAAAAGAAACTGTCCTTTAGGAGGGGAGAGGCAGCTGGGGTGGTGGGAGGTTTCACTGGAAGGCCGGGCTTAGCTTTAATTTCGGCTGTGCTGAGGACTACTAGTTGGCTGCCTTGGATAAGTTAACATCTCAGAAGGTCCATTAACTCATCAATAAAACGAGGTTGAAATAAAATTTGTTTTAAAAAGCATACGGTTTGTCTGAGCCCCGCTCTCTGACCCCATCACTTGCCACTATCCCAGGTTACTGCTCAGCAGCACTGGCCTCACACCCCACCCCAGGGCCTTTGCACTGGCTGCTCCCTCAGCCCAGAATGCTCCCCCTCAGATTGCAATGGGGCTCACACTCTCACCTTCCAGCTCCCTGCTCAGATGCCGCCTCTCGGCGAGGCAGGAACACCATCCCCAGCTCCTGATCCCCATTCTCATTTCTTCACCACAGACTTCATCCCTGACTGACACCCTCTTCTTTCTCTTCATTGCTGTTTCCCCTACTAGAGACAAGCTCCACACGGGCAGGGCTGTTGTTTATTTGGTGCTTGCCATATTCTCAGTCGCTCAATTTATTAACAAAACAGCAAGGCTTTAATTAAAACAAGAGGTCATTGTTGATGAAATAGAATAAGTGACACCGGAGAGGGTCTGCCCTGCTGTACCAATTTTCACATGACAGCTCTGGACCTGGGTAGCCCGGGAGCCTTTTGTCAGTGCAGCCCGGCACGCGGAACCTATCCGAGCACGCATGGCAATGCGGATAGTCCCCATTTGGATCCTGGTGGCCTTTTAGCCAGTGTGAGAGGTCAGCCTGGTGATGGGGCACCCATCCCAGCTTGCTGGGAGGGGAAACGCTTGTTTTTTGTTTTTTTTGAGACAAGATCTTACCCTGTTGCCCAGACTAGAGTGCAGTGGCATCATGATAACTCATTGCAACCTCAAACTCCTGGGCTCCAGCAATCCTCCTGCCTCAGCCTCCCGAGTAGCTGGGAGTGCACCACTGCGCCTGGTTAATTTTTCTATTCTTTATAGAGATGGGGTCTCACTCTTGTTCAGGCTGGTCTTGAACTCCTAACCTCAAGCAATCTTTCTGCCTCAGCCTCCCAGAGTGCTAGGATTAAAGGTGTGAGCCACAGCACCTGGCCAGAGCTACTTTTTTTTAAGTGAAAGAACCTTCTGGGGCTTTCTATCCTCTGTGAAATACTTTTTAAAATCACCCTTGTCCTCACATTCACCAAGGGGGGTTGTGTGTGTCTCTGGGCCCACTTCTGCCTTCCCCAGCCCAGGTCTCCTTGTGTCATGTAGGGCCCAGCCCAGGTGGCCTCTTTGGCCCAGCTGCTCGGCCTCCAGCCACTAGTCCTCTGGGTCAGCCTGCAGGGAGTTTCTGCTGGCTCCTTCGGGCTGCTGACACTTGCCTTTAGTCCATGTGGGTCCCTGGATGGGCCTGGGTCACAGCTGGCTGAGTGCGTAGGCTCGGGCTGTGCTGAGGGCAGCTTCCAGGTCAGCGGTGCTTCCGGTGCCCTGAGCCACCACCCGAGAGCCCCAGGCCTTGCCCCCCATGTGCTTGCACACTGCCAGCGCCCAGGCCTCTGCTGTGAAGGTGGGGGTGGCATCCTAGGGACAGAATCAGAAGGGGAAGCGGTGCAGAGCGGCCCTCCCTCACAGCAATGTACCCTTGAGAGTGGAGTCCCGGGAGATGGCACCCCCTCCCCAGCCCAGCACGTGGCTGGGGGAGTCGGGCGAGGAGACAGGAGAAGGGTTGGGCTGGGTGTGTGTGGATGTTGATGAATGTCTGCAACTTGTTCGCAAAGGATGTGAGGCTGGAGAGGGGTTGATAATTAGGGAGGCTCACAGAGCCTTCTTGGGGGTGAGGGGCCATCTTTAGGGACAAGAGACTGCCCTATCCCCGTCCTGGAGTGTCCTCATACATCACTCTACCCAGCCCTGGCTCCCTTGCCTGGAGGAATAAAGGCATGGAATCAGAGAGCTGGACCAGGATGGGTGGGGGCAGTGGGCTACACCCCCCCTTCCCTCACCTGGGCCACCTGGCAGGCACAAAGCACATGCCCCACGGGCTGGGGGCTGAGCAGGAGCACGGACGTGCTGGGAGCCTGCTCGCAGAGCTGCCGTACCACCTTCACCAGCACCTGGGCAAGGGAGGACAGATGGTGACCCTGTAGCTTCCCAGACTCCAGCGACCTCCCGGTCAGGACTTTGTCCTCCCCAGACCCTAGGGCAGCCTCCCTCTGCCAGCGCTTACTGAGAGGGACTCAGCGGAGACTGTGTCCACGATCAGAGGCCCCTTCGAGTGCCGCCCCAGCAGCTCCTGGGTTTTCTTTGCAGCCTGTGGGGCAGGAAGGACAGCAGAGGGGTCAGGCTGAGAGGCAGGTTTCCAGTTAGGCCCCACTCTGAACTGGGCCCCAGTCCAGCAATCCCCTCCCATCTTCTTCCCTTCCCCCAGCAGGAGTCATCAGCTCCGAGCAGAGATGGCAGGGCTCTGCCTCAGGTGGCCTTTGTTTGGGGTCCCACCTGTGTCCTTCCTCACCTCCCTTGCCTCCTCCCTGTCATCATAGCTCCAGGTCCCTACAAACAGATCGCTGAAGGTGAAAGGAGGAAGGTCGGAGCACAGATGGACTGGGAGGGGACGGGAGGAAGGGGACCCATAGTAGAGGAGCAATGAGGGTTGAATGGTGTTAATCAAGTCAGCAGGCTTCTTGGAGGGACAGTCTGAGCCAGACTTGGGAGCCTGGGGACAGACACGGTTTGGCAGAGAGAGAAGAGGGAAGTGGCCTGGTGACGGCTCCCAGCTGGCAGGAGAAGAAAGAAGCTGCCACCCACCCCGTCCCCATGTGCTCACGCAGCCTGCAGCCTCTGACTCGCCTCCATGTCCCAGCCTTCAGGCTTCTCAGGGTGTGTGCTGGAGGGTGTCTGGGCACATGGGGGCAGCCAACCCCCCCTTACCTGCCCCATCTCCAGCTTGCGGATGGCAGTGTTGGCACGCCGCTGCAGCACCTTCAGCGTGGCCTGCAGCTCCCGCCGCTGCCACTGGGGCATTGTGGTGGTGTCCACAGCCTATGGCCAGAAGCGGTGAATCACCCTTGCCCTTCCCTGAGCCACAGCCGCTGAGGGAGGGACCACGCCCGCCCTACAGACGGCCATCTGGAGCCCAACCCAACTGGAGCGCAGGGGAGCCTGAGAGAGTTCGGGAGGGTATGGGGAGGGAACAGGGCCAGGAGAGGGTGGGAACCCCATGGTGAGGGTGGTCCTCACATCAGTGAGTCGTCCCATGTCCTTGGATAGCCGCTGTGCCTCCGCCACATCCCGGCTGCCCCGACTCAGCCGCTCTGCAGCTGCTTCCACTTCCCGGGCCAGACACTGACCCACCTCTCGGGCCTGCAGGGAGGGAACAGGATGGTCAGGGCTGCCAGGCTTACACTCGCCTCTCCAGGAGAGGGACTCTCAACTCACTGCTGGCTGGGGCCAAATAAGAAATATTTAATAATCAGGACCAATCAAGGCACCAGCACCAAATAATCATGGCAGATGCTAGCTGCCAAGAGTTGGTATGGTCACATTGGTGAGCATGTATAAACTCCGGCTCTGCTACTGGGCATCCCTGAGCCTGAGAATGTCAGCTGTGTGTGTCCCGGGCTCCCCACCATACCCAGAAGTCTCCCGGGCCCAGTGGCGTGCTGACCTGCTGGGCCTGCTCCCCTGTGACGGCCAGTAGGCGGGTGGTGCCCTTGGAAAGCTGGCGTTCCCCGGTGATAACCAGGTCCCCCACAGCTCCTGTGCGTAGCAGGTGCCTATGGGAGGAAGAGGCGAGAAAGTCGGGGGGATGATGGGAGAGAAGGGAGAGGCTTGAACCCTAAATCAAGGGCTGGTGGCTCCAAAGACCAAGGAAGGGTGGGGATCCAGGGCCCCAGGGCCAGTGCAGCACAAAGGAGTGACTCACGTCCCACAGCATAGCTCCACAGAGGTCTGAAGTGCAGCTTGCGAGGCTGGGTCCAATGCACAGGCCACGGGCACCCCCACTGACACCACCCGCACAGGGTCTGGATACACCTGAGGTCAAGAAGGGACAGGCTCATCAACCGCCAGAGAAGGAGGAGGAAGCCTCCGGGTATGCCCGAAGGGGGCAGGTGATCTCCACCAGAAGGGCTCCCCCAACCCACCTCATCCAGAGAGCGCAGGCCAGGGACTTTGGCGGTGAGTGCCAGAGCCACCTCCTCCATGTACACAGCCTCATCCAGCCCCACGGCCTCCTGCACAGTGCGCTCCACTGCCCGGAGCTGCTCCGGGGTCAATGGGGCCTGGTGGGGTGGCGGGAGGAAATGGACAGATTGCCAGGCAGTCAGCCCCATGCTTGCACCTGATACGTTAAAAAGCAGTCAGTGTTCACTGAACTATCTCCAGGTTCTAGAACAGTAGCTAGTGGTGGAGCAGACAATTCTTTTCCTTAGAAAGCCACCTGGGAGTTGGGCCTACTGGAAACTGCAAACCTTTCGCCAGGTATGAAAAGTTGATAAAGAAACTAAAAGAAGGCTCTGTCCACAGGGAGCTTGCAGGGGGCAGCCCGATGGAAGAAGAATACAGGGCGGGGAGATGCAGGAGCAAGGAGTAGGCTGGTGGGATGGGGATTCGTCAGCAAGTGCTTCCTGGAGGAGGGATCTCAGCCAGATGTACAAGGAGGGGAAGCAGACAGGTGCTAGAGAAGGGAAGGGCAGCCCAGGTGCTGGCTCGGGTCCCAGCAGGAGCGAGGAAGGCAGGTGGCTGGAGGGGAAGGGAGGGCCCCTGCTGGAAGACTTCCAAATCCTACAACATCAGAGCTGGGAGAGGACCCAGGCACTCTCTGGCCTGACCCCTCACTGGCACAGGAGCCTGAGGGGAAGGGACTTGCCCCAGGTCCCACAGTGGATGGGCAGCAGTGCTGGGCCCAGAGCCCTGGCCCTCAGACTGGTCAACCCCCCATAATACCAGACTGTCTCTTTTTAAGGCCGTCACCTCACAGGAAGCCTGTCTGTGCCTGGCTCACCTGGGTGGCCACATCGAAGCGCAGCCGCTCGGGATTGAGATGGGAGCCCCGCTGCTCTGTGCCAGGGCCCAGGGCCTGCCGCAGTGCCCAGTTTAGCAGGTGGGTGGCCGTGTGCTTCTCCATGCAGCCCAGACGCCAGGCCTGAAATACTCTTGTCACCCAGGGTCCTGGGTGAGGGCAGGGGGTGGGGACAGTGAGGGAGCTCCAGGATCTCAAGCACGGTGGGGGAGGGTCCTCACCTTATCCACATGCAGCTGCACCTGGTCCCCTACCTGCAGGCACTCAGGGGCTACCACCTCATGCAGGATGAAGCCCCCACAGACCTGGGCCCGGGCCACTGGGAACAGCACGTCCTGGAGAAGGGCAGGGCCAAGGCGCTTGAGTGACCGCCTGTAGCCTTTCCCTCCCCTGGGCTCCCATCCAGGCTCAGGCCTGCCTTCCACACAAATTAGCCTCTGGGGAGGCGGGGAGGGACACTCACCTGCTGCCCTGCCCGCACCAGATAGCCACGGTCAGAAGCCTGACCCCCCTGTTCAGCATAGAAGTTGGTCCTGTCCAAGAGGAGGCCAAAGTGCTGGCCTTCTCCCACGGAGGCCACGGCTGTCCCGTCCTCTGTATACAGCTGTAGCACCTGGGCCTCACAGGTGCCGAACTCTGCCAGGGAGCAGAATGGTTATCAGTGCTAGGCAAGGGCTGGGGATGTGGGAGGAGGGCCTGTGCCTCAGGGCCAACAGGCACTGGGCTGGGGGCACTTCCAGCTGGGGGGCTGCAGCGACCCCTGGTGGTTACCCTGGGTAATGCATAGGGGCAAGTATTAATAGCAACTATTTTTGATGTCTTTCTCAACCACAGTCAAGCTTGTGGCTACCAGCCTCAGTCCAGGCTCTCACCATAATCCCCGTTGGGTCCCAGGGAGTAGCTGTACTTGGGGCTGTCGTCGGTTGGGGGCACCCCTCGGCGCTGCAGATCCCCCAGTGCATGGACATCAAGCCGCAGTCCCTGCTCCTGAACCGGCTCAGCCTGCTGTGCCCGATGCTGTGGGATGGGTGTTGTGTGGAAGAGTGAACAGAGAATGCAGTGGGACTTGAGCCTCACACAGCCCTGTCCCTGTCACACAGCTGTGTGGACCCTGCAGCCCGCTCTGGAAGAAGACCTCCGAGCTTGGCCGGCTGCTAGAGACCCTGGGCTGGCTGGTGAACCATCCATCGTGCGGGTGCCTCAGGGTCAGGCCTCCCCGCTCACTGCTGTCCCTGGAGGCCCCCCTCTAGGACGCTGTGCTGGCGTCTGCTCTTCTATTTAGCCCACTGCCGGCTAGCGTTCCTCTGTGGCCTGAGGTTTTGGAAACCCTGTCCTATCACCTTCATAGTTGAGGGGACAGACCCTATGTCAGCCTCTTGATTCCTCCCAATGGCTGTGGCTCTTCTCCCAGGAGCGCAGGGCTGGGGAAGGGGCTGATGCGCCCCAACAGAGCCCAGCATCGGGGTGCCCCAGCCTGTACCTGGGCCTCCTCCTGGGCCAGCCGCTCCAGCCCAGCAGTGTCCAGCTGCACCCCTTTCTCCTCCAGCATCAGCTCTACCAGGTCCAGGGGGAGCCCCAGGTTCCCAGACAGTGACAAGGACCAGGCCACCTCAGCTTTGAGGAAGGAAGACAAAGGATGTTGCGGAGGGGAGGGGAGGAAAGTGAGGGAGAATTAAGGCCAGGGTTTTTCTAACCACACAAAAGCCACCAGATGCCAGCACAAATGCCCCCTCTCCATAGCGGGCAGTCCCAGAAGTGGAATCACTTTCAGGCTTCATGACCCAAAGCCTGGACTACCCTGGGTAGTCCAGGGTACTCCCTGGGCACATGGCTTCAGCCTAGCCATGAAGCCAACCTTGGAAAGCAGTGACAGGGGGCAGAGGCAGGGCTGGCTGGGCAGTGTGGAAGTGGGGAGAGGCAGGGTGGTGTTCCTGCTACAGAGGGGTCTGGTGTTGGGGGCAGAGTACAGGGAGAGAGGAACATTGGGTGGAAGCGAGCCCCTCCAGCACAGGCTGGGTACCCTACTCACCAGGGAACACATCTGAAGGCCCCAGGCGACTCACAGTCCGATCAATGATCCGCCGACCCCGTTGTAGGGAGGCCAGGAAGGCCGCCTCGTCCTCCGACACCAGGCTGGCTATCTGAACCCGGGCATGGCAGAAGTGGAGCTGGGTCTCCTTGGAGGGAGGGCCTCACTCCACAACTCTCCCATCAGCCCCTCCCTGCCCCTCTGAACCCAGTACCTGGGCTGAGTTCTTCTGCAGTTCCGGATAAGCCTCTCCCTGGGAAGGTGGTGAGGGGTGAGGAGGTGTGGAAGGCGACTAGCCCCTTCTCCACCTCCCCACCCTGGGCCTCCCCAAGGACACCTGCCTTGGAAGCTCAGACACACAGGGACAGGGGGAGGGACCCAAATGGGGAATCAGTTTCCCTGTGGGGTGGGGTATGGACAGAAGGGGGTCCCAAGGTCAAAGGCTCAGCAGCTTGGGCAAGGAAGCTCTGGAAGACTCCCTGTTTCTTGTGAGCAAGTACAGCTTTCTCAGCCTGCTGACAGGATGCTGGGCTGGACATTTAGAGTGGGAGCCCTGGTGCCCAGCCTGGGGGCACTGCCTGGGTTCGGCAGTAGGCTCCCTGAGTGCCAGGAGGCCCAGAGGAGGGAGGAGCCTCTGCTCTTACCAGCGTCTCCACCACGACAGGCACCAGGCTGCCGAGGAAGCCAGGTGGGGCCTGTAAGACCTCTGTGGAGAACCGCACAGCGCGACGGAGGATCCGACGAAGAACCAGCCTAGAGGGGTTCAGAGCCCAGATGTGAAGCCCCAGCAGCCCCTGGTCAACGAAATGGGGAGCAGGGAGGACAAAGTCCAGAGTGTGTGCTCCCATCCTAAAACTCTCTCCTCCCCATCTCTCCTACCAGCTCAACCCCGCCCACCTCTGCTTTTCCTTCCCTCCTCACCCCTGCAACGCCCAGCTGCCCCCGCCTTCTCTGTAGCCCTTCCAGACTCACGGGGCGCCTGACATCCCAGGGGAGATGCCATCGGCGATACAGACGCTGAGTGTGCGGATGTGGTCAGCCACCACGCGGTACGCCATGTCTGTGCGCCCCTGGTCTGCCACCCCTACCTGGCCCAAGTAAGGGGGTGCCCCGCAGCCCTGAAAGCAGGAGAGAAGGAGACGCGCTGCGGGCCCTGCCTGAGCTGGCCCAGGTGGATTCTCTTTATCACCTTTACGGCCTCCTCAGCCCCAAAGCCAACCACATCCGGAACGGCCGTGCCAGTCTGGACTGCAGGCTGAGAAGCCTCACAGGTGGGGGACCAGTCCCTGCCCTGGCAGGCTCACAGTCGGCGCTAACGATCACCATCTCTGTGATCATTTACTGAATTTCTACCATCAGAATGGGGCAGATAGTTGCCCAACGTGACATCTAACCCCCAAAACAGCTGGTTCCGGGAGGTATTACTATACTTACTTTAAAGAGCAGGAGACAGAGGTCAGAGGAATTAAGTGAGAGGAGGCCACGCCACTCACTAGGAGCAGATCTGAGATTTAAACCAGGACTGTCGGACTCCAAGAGTTCCCCACTTCCTGCTCCAGCCTCCACCGTCTTTACAGGGGGCATGGAGGGAGGCTGCATATACGAGTGCTCCAAACAGAGAGCTTGATTCACCCAGCTCCAAACCTGTCTCTTCCCGGAGCTTCCCCATCTCAGTAAGCAGTCGTGTCATTCAATGTGTTGCTGACGTCAACAACCTGGGAGACATCTTTGATCTCTTCCCCTCCCCATCCAATCCATCAGTGGGCTCTTTTGTTTCTACCTCCATGAGATTTCTCAAATCAATCTACTTTTCTCTACTTTCTCAACCACCAGCTGAAGCCACGCCCTATGGCCTCTTGCCTGGACTGATAATAGCCTCCCAATTGGTTTCTCAGCTTCTACACTGTGTCCCTCCAGCTCGTCCTCCGCATAGCAATAGGAGGAGGTTTTAAAAGCATACATTAGCTCATGCTCCCTCACGCCCACTTAGAGCCCTTCTCACCACACTTTGAATAAAAGCCCCACTTTGGATTTCAAGGCCCCTTAAGATTGGACTCCTGCCTTCCTCTCTATGGTAGATTGTTTGCAAAAGTGGTCCCTTCCTGTGCATATGCCACTTTGCAATATGACTTTATAGCTGCTTCCCACCAAGGGATAGAATCTATTTCTCCATCTTCTGAATCTGTGCTGGTTTTGTGACTTGTTTTGGCCAACAGAATATAGTGGAAACAACACTGTTCTGAGCCTAAGCTTCTGCTCTCCTTCTTGGAAGTTTGCCCAGCTGTGATGTGGGCAAGCCCAGGATAGCCAGCTGGATGATGACAGATGCAGGCCTAGTCAGCCCTCATTCCCCAAACTGACAGCCCCAACCCTCAGAAGTGCTGCCTTGCAGCTGACCACATAGGTATGAGTGAGCTCACACAAGACCAAAAGAATGATCCAGCTAAGCTCAGCCTAAACTGCTATCCCCAGACTCATGAGCTAAATAAATGGTTGTCGGTTTAAGCTACTGAGTGTTAGCGTGGTTAGTTATGCATCAAAAGCTAACTGGCACACACTCCAACTACATCCCCTGCCCTCTACTTTAGCTGGTCGCCTTTTTGTTCTTGACACATGTCAAACCCTTGCCTGCCTTAAGGCCTTGGTACCTGCTGTCCCCTCTGCCTGGAATGAGCTTCCTATGGCTGAGTCTTCCTCTTTCAGGTCTCAGCTCCAAGATCCTCTCCTTAGTCAGCCTTTCCCAAACACCTGTCCTAAAATTCCTCTTACCCCACTTCCTCCTAATTATTATCACCCATGTTTACTGCCCGTTCACAGTCTGTAAGCTGCTATCTTGTTCTCTAATGCATTTATTTATTGCCTGTCTCTCATGTTAAAATGTAGTTTCCGTGATTTCTTTTCCATTTACTGCTGTATCTTCTGTACCAAGCACAAAGAACGTAACACAAAGTAGGCACTCAACACATATTTTTTGAATAAGTGAAGGAGGGAAGGAGTCAGGAGCAACGCTAAGTAATGAACGACGAATCCCAGTCTCATGTTGACACCCTGGGATCCTTGGGTGGTCACTATCCCCAGATGCTGGGAACACTTTGGATTCTCAACAAAGATGGAAAGCAATGGGGCTGAGTGCTGGTGACGAGGAGGTCAGAGGGGCTTCTGGAAGGGAAGAGGCAGGCTCACCTGGTGTATGGCGTTGAGCAGCGGGGAAAAGAGGTCAGTGTCGTAAGTGGAGTGTTTGCCTTGCAGCACAGCAACCAGCCTCTCCAGGCCCATTCCTGTGTCCACGTGCCGCTGAGGCAGGGGCTGTAGGCTTCCATTTGCCTCTCTGGCCAGGGGAAGGTGTGCAAAGAGAGGAGTAGAGGAATGAGGAGAGGCCCAACAGGGCTGACAGCGGGAGGAACCAGACAGGCAGTGGGCTCCCCTTCCCCAACATCAGAGGATGATGGCCTTGGGTCCTGTCCTTTCTCATAAAGGGCTATCTCTACCCTCATCCCTTACTCAGGCCCTTGCCTGGAACCCAGACATCCCCTTCTGGGACAGAATTCTTTGCCCGTAGAAAGAGACATGTTGCGAAGAGAAGAAATCTAGAGACCATCATGTTCAACTCCATCATATGATAAGAGGCCAGAGAGCAGCAGTGACTTGTTTAAACTGACACAGGCAAAGACTAGGATTAAACCAGTTATTATGTGAAAAGTGCTTAGAAATGTGCCTGGCACATAATAAGGACCATCTAAGTGTTTGTCATTACAAGAAATGAATCTGAGTCTTCTGACTGCCACCTTTTCCACTTCCGGCTAGGGATTCTCCTCCTGCTTCGGCACCCCATTACCTGTTGTATTGCATGAAGACCAGATTCCAAAGCTCCACCAGTTGCGGGGCTCCCACCCCACCAGCCAGGTCGTAATGGATCTCGGTACAGGGCCCACAAGGGCCAATATCCCCCATCTCCCAGAAGTTCTCTTGTGGGCCAAAGGAAAGCACACGGCTCGCAGGCACTCTGGGGAGAAAGGCAGGTGAGTGGTGAGAGATGGACAGACCCAGAAGCTGCGACCCTTTCTGCCGTGAGAGCCCCTCCTTCAAGTCCCAGCCCAGCAAGAGGAACAGGGCTGGCCCCACAGTATCCTGGGATATGCTGAGACTCTGAGGACTGGTGCTGGTGTCTCTATTTCCTAGTCCTCCTGTCCTCTAGGAGTGGACATAAGGAGGGGGTTGACTTACCCTAAACTGAGCCAGATGTCCCTGCTTTCCAGGTCTGGGTGCAGCCCTGCTTTGGGGTCACCACCAAAGTAGGAGACCCAGAGCTTGTCCTCAGGGATCCCATAGACCTGAGTGAGCAGTTCCCAGGCCATGCTGCAAGCCTCCTCCTGTGGCAGAAACCAGCATGGGGTGGAGAGCGGAAGGTACATGAGAGGGCGGTCCCACTGAAGTGCCAATCAAGCCACGTGAGTTCAGCCCTCAGCTTAAGACAAAACCATTACCATTGCCCATCTTGTTCCCAGAACAACCCATGACCATTTCTGCCTCTGAGTTTTTTCCTCCCAGAAAGCTTTCCCCCTCTTCTAAACCCTATCTTCTTTCAAGTCC